CTTCTTTCTCCTCACCTGGACCTGATAACCTGCACATGGACCTGCCCACCTGGTCTCCACCCCCTTTTAGCGGCTCCCAAGCAGTCGCGGCCTGACAAATGTGTGGCCCATGAAAAGTCCCGGGGCTCCTTCAAATAAACTGATACCAAACTAAGTGATACCCCCGCCTGCTCCAAAAATGAAACCTTTGAACTAATGTTTTTTTTTTTTTTAATTTTTTTTTTTATGTTTTATTTATTTCCAGGAGAGAGAGAGAGAGACAGCACGAGCAGGGGAGGGTCAGAGAGAGAGGGAGTCACAGACTGAAACAGGCTCCAGGCTCCGAGCTGGCAGTCAGCACAGAGCCCGACGTGGGGCTCGAACCCACGAACCGCGAGATCATGACCTAAGCGAAAGTCGGACGCTTAACCGACTAAGCCACCCAGGCGCCCCTGAACTAATGTTTTAAGTTGCACCGACTGACCTAAGCGTGGTCTGGTGCAGATAGAGTTGTGGTCAGAGAACGGTCCCACGGCCCATATCTTTCTTAGAGCCTCTCTCGCCTCCTGCCTTCCATCTTCAAACCCCACTGGGGCCTGACCTCGAGGCTCCACAACGTATGCCAGTTCCCGGAAAAGTCAACTCTGTGCGATCTTAATCTGGGTTAGGCGACCAGAAAGTTCTTTTGTCCCAAAGGTTTGGGAAAATCACAGATTCAGCACCCAGTCCGGAGATCTTCCTTTACTGCAGGACTTTGCAATAATGTGCAGTAGAAAGGATGCTCTGAAGGTTGCTCTGAGTTTTCCAAGAGACGGATGATAGGATGATACGATCTTTCAGATGAGAACATTTTACGATGTTATTGCACCGTCTGATATATTTTCAGACCTACCAGCTGGCTTATGTAGCCAGAAAGAGTGGATATACTTTCCGAGGCAGCTAAGTCCCAGCAAATGGGAGCTACCTGGCCTCATGGGCCAGGAGCTTAGGAAACAAGAATCTTTCCGACTGGGGGAGCTGGTGGCTGTCCTCAGGCCGGAGAATAGAATCCATTTTCGCCGTGTCTGGAGAGGGGGCTGTGGCTCTCTTCTGCTCTCTCAGTCCCATCCTGACCCCCTCCCTTCCTTCCTCTCTTTTCTTTTCTTTTCTTTTCTTTTCTTCCTCTCCTCTCCTCCCCTCCCCTCCCCTCCCCAGGTGATACAGTTTGTCTTCTCAGCAGTTCTGCCAGGAAAATAAACTTGCCTCACAGTGGCCAGCTCTCCCATCAATATTTGGCACAAATATTTAGAAATCTCCCCAAGAGAGTCCATGCCTTTGTGAATCAATGCAGGACATTTATAAGTCAATAAATCCCACTTTGAAAATGCCACGAGTTTAGTTTCTGGTCAGCCACTAAGTGTTTCTGGGTGGTTTCACGTCCCACTTTTACAAAAACAGTGTTTAATACTTAGATAAAAAGTCACTAACCCAAGAGCAAATTTCTCTCTTCACAACTGAGGAAACTCTTATTTTCCTTTCCCTCAAGGGACAGGCGCTCCATCACTACAACTATTCAATCCAGCGGGAAGAGATTTCTCCTCTGAATTAGAGAGCAAATCTATCCCAGACTGTTCACAGCCGCCGCCCGGAAGGGCTTCACTATGAAGCAAAACTAAACAAAGTACAACAGACAGAATGGTGGATTTCGATTAGTGGGTTGAAATTGTGACTAATGTTATATAGGGAACGATCTTGCAAAACTTTCAGGCCCTGGAAACTCAACTCGGGGACGTTGGTGACTCCGATAGTAGGGCCCAGGCAAAGCTGCATTCCTCCTTGCTGTGGCTACTGGCATATTTAGGTTTGTATGTTTTTTCCACTTCGGTCGGAGAAGCTGGTTTTTAGGGTCAGATACACCTCATCTTGTAGACTCCGGTGATCAGGCAGATTGAAATGTAGGGTTGCAAAGGAGAGAGAGGGGGAAAACAAGCCTCATGAATGAAAGAAGATCTGGAAAAGCTCAAATCGATGAAGGCTGATGGACAACTAGAGGAAGCCGGTGTTTTAGTCATTGATCCAACACGGTTTGGCCAAAATACAGAGAAAGAAATGGAGCATTTAGTGGGTACCGCATGCATGCGGGAGCTACAGGAGATGCTTCATAGAGGCTAACTGGGGTCCTCCTCACCACCCGGGAGGAAGGATGGCTGAATCTCGTTGAAAACTAAGGAGGCGAGGCACAAGAAGACCAAGCAACTTGCCTGAGGTCACATGGCGAATGAATGCCACCGCTGAGATCAGAATCTACAGTCCGCTAACTTGTAAACACGGTTCTTTGTTGGACAATTCTTGCTGAGGCACATTTGTCACTTTTGTGGAGCCGGGGCTCGACACGAGATAATCAGAGAAGAAATGCAAGGTCGCTCGGCACCCTGTGGGCCTCCTGAGTCAGGCAAGAGAAGCCGGCTGCTGCTGTGCTGAGGTCTGGATACCCTGCCCGGGGTGGGGGTGTGGCCAGGACACCCACTCTTATGGGGCTCACCTTCCCGATGCGGCAGGTGTGCACACACTCAAGTGAACAAGTACATAAGCCACAGCTTCCTGGGTAGCAAGATGTGCTTAAAAGCTAATAAAGCAAATAAAGCAAGGTAACAGAGACTGCCTAGGTACCGAGGGCCATACTCCTAGTTTGTTGCCTTAGATAATCGGGGAAGAATGCTAAGTGAGAATTTCTGGGTCCAGGAGTCAGCATATGAGTAGACCTTCAGGAAAATTCTATATGCAGTGAAACCTCCCCCAGATCAGCCACTCTTCCGGACTGAATTGGGCCCCCGAGTTTCACGTCGACCAGGAACCTCAGAAAGTGACCTGGTTTGTTTAGATACAGGGTGTTGGAGATGTAGTTAGGTAAAAGTCTCGGATGAACTCCTCCTGGATTTAGGGGTGACGGGCGTCTTTTAAGAGAACGGAAAAGGCGATTTAGACTCAGACACAGAGAAGGAGGCTGTGTGAAGACTGAGGGAGGGATGGGGGAGGCATAGTCAGGAGCCTGGGGATGCCTGGAGGCACCAGAAAAGGAAAGGCAAAAACAGATTCTTCCCTAGAGCCTTCAGACGGGGCACGGCCCAGCTGGCACCTTGATCTGGGGACTGCCGAGGCGCAGAGCTGTGACAGGGTGGTGGCTCTCTGTCGTGGTAAGCCACCAGTCTGTGATAATTTGCGGCAGCCTCAGGAAACTAACCCAGTCACAGAAATAATGAGCATTTTCATGGAACCACAGCGTCGGAGGCACCCCCCCCCCCCCATCCAGGACTATACTCTAATAACACGAATAGCCCCTCTGTTCCGTGACCGGGGTTATGGCTGGGGGATGCCTGGAACACCAGGTGACTGGAGGTGGTGACAGGAGGCGAGACCCCACTTCCCAGGGTTCTGGGACCCTCCCGGGGCTGTAGTTGAGAAATCGACGCCAGACAGCACCAAAATAAGCAGCAAGGTGCCGCTCTCCGGTCATCCTGGGAGGCGGCTGTCCAACGTCCCACTTGGCTAACATGGCCCAGAACCCTCATTTCAGGAAAGGAGCCTGCTTTCCCTTGGTGCCAGTGCTCCGAGCAAGACTTTGTCTTGTGTTACGGGCATCCCCTGGGTGGCCATTGCCCCAGAGGTGATCTTATCTGTCCTGTAAGTCACCTTGCATGCCTGCTAGGAATTAAGAAGATCAGAACACCACCAGAATGACTGCATGGGACCGACTACCACCGCTACCAGGGGGTGAGGTGGGCATGTGAGCAGGCAGGAACCAGACAAGGCCTGGTGGAAGACAGGCTCTCCGACTCTGTGGCCCCGGCACGCCCCTGCCCACCCTGCCCCACTGTGGAGAGAGATGACGGGCAATGACATACACGCTCAGAAAGGGGCTTGCCTACAAATTCCCCGCATTCAAGCGAGGAAAAGATTGCCAGGAGAAGACAGAGTTTGGCCAGCTGGGCAGCCAGTCACTGGTGCGGTGCTGGAGTCAAGAGGGGAAGGTCTGAGGGGCGCCTGGGCGGCTCCATCGGTTCAGTGACCGACTTCGGCTCAGGTCGCCATCTCGTGGTTCGGGAGTTCGAGCCCTGCGTCAGGCTGGCTACTGTCAGCCTGTCAGCACGGAGCGCGCTTCAGGTCCTTGGTCCCCTTCTCTCTGCCCCTCCCCACCTTGCACTGTCTCAAAAATAAATAAACATGAAAAAAAAAAGGAGGAGAGGTTTGAGATTAAAGCAAAAGTCCTTTGGAGGCCATTATGGGTTAGTTAAATGCCCAGCACATGGCTCTGCTTCTGCCCTCAGCACACAGGTGGGGCCACCTGGCCACCTCAGTGTTATCAGCCTTCCCTCACTCAGGCCTGTTAATGGGGGGCACGTGAGGAGCCCCAGTGATACAGCAGAAGCACCTGTTCGCCTGCCAGGTCTCGCCCCCAGGACCCGCCCTGTCTTCACAGCCACGGGGCCCTCTGAGTCCCAGCCTCAGCCTCAGCCTCAGCTCCCCCGTTTGCCTTGTTATCAAGTCCCGACTGGGTGGAAGCCACATCTCGTCCCTGCTACAAATGACCATAATATTCAACAAAAAAAAACGCCAGAGAAATAACGTTAGCCACCAAATCGTACTAAGCACCTGATAGAGAGAAAACTGGTTCCATGTAGCTGCATAATTAGATTTCCAACATGCAGTGGGACAGGCACTGATTTGATGCAAAAGGCAATCAGTTCAACTGAATTCAAAATAAAGGAGAGTGTTGGGCATCTGGGTACACACACACACACACACACACACACACACACACACCCTCTTGGCACACTTAGTTATCTCAGAATGGAGAACCTAATTGTTGATTCTCCAGCTGTCTTTATTTCCCCTTGCTGCTTTTCTTTGGGGCTTTCCCCAGTGCCCGTGTTGTCCCCAGAAAAGAGGGCTGGGCGCAGCGAGCTAAGGCAGCTGTGCCTCCTGTTTGGTGGGCATCTCCGCCCTGGGCACACCCCTCTGGGTGGGCTTCCGTCTCCACTTACCTTTGCGATCTGCACACACCAGTTGAGCAGGTACTGAGAGCCAATGTTGTCCTTGTGCTCGCGGACATAGTCCAGGAGGCAGCCGAAAGGCATGAGCTGTGTGATGAGCTGGACCGTGGACGTCAGGCAGATGCCCAGGAGGCGGCACACATGGGGGTTGTCCACACTGGCCATCACGTAGGCTTCCTGCGTGGAGGAGAGGAGGGAAAGCATGAGACGGGTCCCCCTATTATAGGGGCTGAAGGGAGAGGCAGACAGATCTCTTTCCAGGCAAAAAAAAAAAGCAAAACACAAACACGATTTTGAGGTCCAAACTGTGTCCCTGTGGAGGACAGGGTGGCCCATGCAAGATTTAGTGCAACAGATATTTCCATTCATGCGGGGTCTATTACGTACATACTATGCTGAGAAACGACCCTCGCGTGGAGGACAGGACCCTGTGGGTGGGAAGCAAGGCTTTCTGTCTACAGAGAGGCCCAGGCAGCACGCGGCGGTGGCAGCACACTGAGTGCAGATGGGCCCCGCTGAGGTCTGTGTTAGGAAGACCTCTGGGCGCAGGCTAACGCGGCTGCAGTCTGAAAGGTCGTCGGGTGTTCGGGGCCCTACGCCTCGGTGATGACTGTCTCACTGAATGGAGATACACACGCAGAGGTTTTTATGTATTTTTTCTGAGAGAGAGAGCTCGCATGTGCGAGCAAGTGGGAGAGGGGCAAGAGAAAGACTGAATCCCAAGCAGCCTCCATGATGCCTGTGCAGAGCCCGATGTGGGCTCGACCCCACGAACCGTGAGATCATAACCTGAGCTGAAAGTGAGTCGGACGCCTAACCGACGGAGCCCCCCGCCCAGGCTTCATTTCTGAAGAGAAGTGGTCGACGCTACCCCGTGCCTCAGTCTCAAGATGGAAAACTGTGCTGGTCTGCCAAACGCCCCCTCCTCATTTAACTGGGTGTCATTTTGGACACGGATCTGTGACCACGGACTTTATTTTAACCCTTCTCCTCTTCTTGGGTGCAGGAAGCAGATTTCATTTCCAGCTGAGCACACAATGGGGCCCTCTCTTCTGTCTGAGAATTAGGGAACCCTCACTTTGCACCCATAAATTCTGTCCTCCTTTCAAAGACCTCTAATCCAGACGTGGAAGGAACCATGTGGCCTGCAAGAGAGAGCTCAGAGGCTCTTTTTCATATTCCCACCACTCCTGTGAGTGGCATGTGGACTTGGCCACCAGGAGAAAGGGGGTGCTTGGGGTGGGAGCATCACAGGAGCCAGAGGTGACAGAGGAGACAGAGGACACAGGTCGCGGGGCTGGGGGTGGAGGGCAATGCACACATTCCCCAACACGGACCTGATGCCATCGTGTTCCTTGCCTTAGCCTTTCCCCGCCCCAGGCCTTGAACGTCAGCCCCTCCTCCGGACCCCCTCCCCTCCTTCCCCCTCTGGGCTCTCTCCACTTCCCTCAGGCCCTCGCCCGCAACAGGCCCTTTGCCTGGAATGCCCTTCCACCTCTTCCTTCCTTCTCCGACTCCTCCTCCGGGGGGCCTTCCCGACTCCCCAGTCTCAAACCCTCATCTCGAAGTCTTTCCTTGGGGGACCAGGCTCTTCACTGCCTGGGAACTTGCTGGAGATGCAAATTCTTGGGCCCCACCCAGGCCTACCTACCCTGACCGTGTGAGATGCCGAGGAACAAACGCCCCAGGGCATTGTGGGTGCCCTGGAGCACTCCTCACACACACACTCTGCTCTTCAATACTTGCGTGATTCTGAGACGACGCCCCCGCCCCGGGCTCTTTGAGGAAAGGACTGCCTTCTCTGCTCCTGTCATTTGCCAGTGCTCGTTAGCGTTGTTGGCAAACGCGGCTCATGTGTCACCTCGACATCCCCCATCCCCCGCGTGTACCTCACGTGCCTCAGCAAGTGGGGTAGATGCCTCGTCGGAGGGTTGACACCTAGTCCTTTTTGTGCTTCCAGGGGTGCCAAGCACCCCCCGAGGCATGAAACCGCCCCAGGCTATCAGGACTGAGCTGAGCTGACATACAAAGCCAGAAACTCAAAGCGCAATCAGAGACCTGCTCCCAATGGCAACAGCCACAAAAATTCCCTTGGCTTTTAATGTCTGTGTGGATGATTTCCGGAGTGCCGAGGCGCTCTCCTTACAGGGGGCGCTGGTGTTTCTTCCCCTCTGTGTTCTAACCATCGCACCACAACATCCAAGAGGAGGGTGGGCGTTTGCCACTGTGCACATTCGAACATCCCTTCATCTTGGAGAAGGGCTGCTGATAAGGAGTTAGAAGTGGAAGGTCCCGCAAGTGCATTTCTACTGAGGCCATTCCTCGTCTGAAAGGGAAACTGAGGCCCGGGGAAGCGAGTGGAGAACTCGGTGCCAGAGCTGGGCCCACCGAAGGGTGGCCCCCTCTGCACCCCACATGCCGCCCCCTGTGGCTCCTGGGATGCCTCGTTGAGTGCTCCGCCTCACGGATTTACCAGAAAGCTCGAGACCTCGTGACATGCCCAGCACGTATATAAACGTTTGCGTTCTTTTTCCACGGCCTTCCCTAAATTTAAACTGGAAAGTCTATGGAAAAATTAAGAGGCCCCGCGATTGCCAGAGAAGCACAGATCACGTCTCTCCCCCGAGTCTGGGAAACTGCACAACCATAACACAGAGAAATCCTCCGGCCGCTCCCCTTTTCTCAAGATCTGGTTGAGATTTGGAAACATATTGTATTCATTTTCGAGGGGAGGAAAATCTGCAAACCAGAGCGGCTGGAGCTGCCCATCTGTTGTGGGGCCTCGAGGAGCTGACCTGGACCGGGGAGGGGAGGTACGATCGGGGAACGGAGCACGGGGCGTGGGTGTTGGGCCACACAGAGCCTGGAGCCCTGCCAGGTCCCCCGGCCTATTAAAATCTGACAGCGCAACAGAATTGGGTCATCGCTTCCGCCCCACCCCCAAGTACAATGGAGACGTTGTTCGGTCGTGTGTCCTGTTTGGTGTGCGCAGAAGTTGAAGCGAGCTTTGTTCTGAGCTGTTTATCTTGGAATCTCAAAGGTGCACTGTGACCCGCAGAAAGAATGCGTGGTATTCGGCAACAGTGTGTGGACTGGATGCTCCCGCCGGGCGCACCGACTGGCAGGCGGAGACCAAGTTCAGAGCCCCCGAGGCTGAGTCACATGGCAGGGCGCCTCTGAGGCTCTGGGACCAAGGATGTCTCTTATTTTGTCCCGGTGGCTGAAAGGATGTTTGATGCCTTCCTTCTCGCTTGTCTCCTTCAGCTGTGGACTATTTTAGGTGAAGAATGGGGGAAAAGAGGGCGCCCGGGTGGCTCAGTCGGTTAAGCATCTGTCTCTTGATTCTGGCTCAGGTCACGATCTCATGGTTCGTGAGATTGAGCCCCGCATTGGGCTCTGCACTGACAGCGAGGAGCCTGCTTTCAGCAGGGATTCTCTCCCCCCTCCGCCCCCCTACCTCTCTACCACTGGCATTCACTCATGCGCTGTGCTCTCTGTCAAAATAAATGAACATTAAAAAAAAAAAAAAGAATTGGGGAAAAGATTCCACTAGATTTTAAACTCCTTCAGCAAGGCATATGCGTAACCTTAAGAATGAAGGTGGCCCTATGGTTTTGAAACTGTACCGGTTAACTAAGCCACAGGCAGCAGCTTAAACCAGAGGCTGCCGTGTGTGCATCCTGGGTCTCAGTGCCTGATCCCAGTGAGGGACGAAGACTATCAAGTATTGAGTTAGTGGGACCATTTACAAGTGAGTGTGAGCACTTCAAAGGACACATTCAGCCTCATCGGGCTTTCCAGTCACAGATCTGACTTGCCCTTAGCTCACTGTTGAAAGTGGCCTCGGAATCACTTCCTTTACCTGCTCCTCCTTTCCTTCAGTGGCTCCCCATCACCCTGCCCTGATGGGACTGCATGTGAGTTCTGGGCACACTGGGCTTCGGGAAAAGCAAAGGACAAGTTCTCGAGTGTGTCGCCCATGAACTGTGACAGGGATGTCTGATATCAGAGAAGATGAGTCCAGTTGAAACAAGAATCAAAGCTGGGAATTAAAACAGTAGGGGCAGGGAGCGAAGAAAAAGAGTTCGCACTGTGGCATGGTATCTAAAAAAGTTAAGAGAGTAGATCCCAAGAGATCTTCAGCAGGGAGAAACTTTTCTTTTCTTTTTCTTTTGCTTTTTTAATCGTGTCTATATGAGGTGAGGATGCTAGGGACGCTTACTGCGGTAATCACGTCACAGTATGTGTGAGTCAGGCCAACATGTTGTATCCCTTAAGCTTATGCCAATTATATCCCAGTAACCCTGGGGAAAAAAACTCAACAAAACAAACAAAACTTCCCCCAAAATGGAGGGAGAAGCGAGCAGGAGACAGAGCAAAAGGTAAACAGGGACTCATGCTTTGTAAACTTTCCAGTGTTTTCTTAATCATCCACCCCTCCTTTACTCCACCAAAGCAGATTTCCTCCAGGCTCAGGGGTCTGGGAGGTCCTTTTCAGTGAAAACGACTTCTCGCCCAAGGCACACCTATCGTCTTCAAAATCACCCTCATTCTGGGCGTAAACATTGCTGAAATTCACATTTCAACATTGCTTTGTGAGATTTATTAGAATGTCCTCAATGAGCACAACGGGAACGAAGGAAGCAAGCTCTGCAACAAAGCTTTTCTTTTTAACAGTGTACGTGAGGGAGCTGGGGGTTCAAGGTCAAGAGACTTCACAAACATATTTCTGGCAGTTATGTTCATACGATTTGACGGTATGTTAATTGGACTTCACGTTAATTTGTAAGCCATTGAAATGAAAGATAATTTTGCTTGATATGCGAATCTTCAACATGTGCCATTTGCTACTGCACTTTATTTATTAATACCTCATCTTTTAATTTAGGGTGTGCCAGAATGGGAATATCCTCGCTATAATAAAGGAGGGAAGTCTGCTGGGGAAAACTGAAGTGTATAGAGTGTTATGCCACGGGGAAGCTCATTGTGTCTAAAGACATTTTTTAAAAGGCGCATGTTTGCTTTGTTTGGTCTTATCTCCCATGAATTAGATGCAAGACTGGGGAGTATACATTTGCCTCCTGTCCCCACTGCAGGATAACTACATTCTCTAGATCTTTCGGCGGTAGGTTTTCTTTTTCTTTGACTTGTTTCCCCAACCCCTTGCTAAGCCTCTCCAGCTTCTCTTTCTCTGGCTCTGCCGTGGGACAAGAGCAAAGGTCTGCATCAACCCGCAGCAAGCAGAGGCCAATGGTGTTAACAAGGACACTCCAACAGGTTTGTCCCCTGGATCTTCCTGAGCGGGCTCGGCCGCATTCCATGGTGGCCCCTCTTTGAGCCCTCCTCTGTTTAAGAGGACGCAGCACCCTCACTGACTAGCGAGGGTCCAGAGAAGATGACGAAAGTTCAGTGGGACTGAAAGTAAAGACATGCAAATAATCTCGTGGCCGTTCCAAAGTCTTGCCCCGTAAACTAACGGGGGACACTGGAAATAACATCTCAATTATTTTGGGGGGAAAGTACAGAAAAGGGGCAACACTCCCTAGAGCTTCTAGAGTGTCCATACTATAGTCCCAGGCACCTTTAAAACAGCCATTTCAAAGATAACTTGGTGGAGCAAAATGGACACTTCCAAGGCAGAAACAGAGGCTGGAACCCTGTGTCAATCACATAAATGTGAGAAAGCTTCTGTATGGCTGCAAAGCATACTGAGCGTTAACGCCTGCACCACAGACTCATGAAGAGGGTTCCTCGCGTGCAAAGCATCTATTCCTGAGCCTGGCCCTTGGTGGACATCCAGCAACTGTTGAGTTTGGATCCTTTTGGGAGATGCAGCGGAATGGAGCACACAGGTCTTCTCTATCGGGGAAGCCCTGAGAGGGAATTATACCAACTACAGATGGAAGGGGGAAGGACAGGACACGTGAATGCTCAGAATGTGGTGATGGAGAAAATCTAAAATAGGGCATTGTGTGGCTTCTAAAATGTGGCTTCTGGTGGCCAGGCCTGTGGACAACTGGAAAACAAAGGAGAAACTCACATCAAGGATTTCCTTGTTGGCTTTTGGAGACGTGGCTTCTCTCAACTCCTTGATGGCGACGGGGATTTTAACCTTCTCACCTTCTGGGATCCAGAGTCCCTGTGACGAGGAGGGAGACAAGACATTAACTGGCGATCGTCAGACTATGCAATATGTTAACTCATGAGATGCATGGACTTTACTGGTGACACGATCCAAAAGGGCGGGGGACCTTGAGCACAGCTCTGCGCCCCAAGGCCCCCAAGGGCTGGGAGCCATACATCTCGGCAGCACTTTTGCTAGCGTGTTCCACGAATCAGTGTAGTTAGATAAAAACCCCTAAACTTGTGGTAGTTATAAAACCAGCGTGGATCCTTTTGTCCAGAATTCTGAGATACTGGCTCTAGGTCTAATGGAAAGCAGACTTGATGTCACAGGGTTCAGGAAAAACAAATTAAGAGCTGTTTTGATCTGGGCATTATTTGGATGCAGAAGTCCCCCTTCCGACTCCATCTCTGCCACTCACCCCTTTACAAAGTCAAGGCCGTCCTCCATGATTACTTTGTTGCCTGTGTACAGGCCTCGAAGGACCTCTTATTTGCCACCGTGACTATAAAAGATTTCCTCTTGGGGCGCCTGGGTGGCTCAGTCGGTTGGGTGTCCGACTTCAGCTCAGGTCATGATCTCACGGTTTGTGGGTCCGAGCCCCGCATTGGGCTCTGTGCTGACAGCTCAGAGCCTGGAGCCTGCTTCAGATTCTGTGTCTCCCTCTCTCTCTGACCCTCCCCTGCTCACGCTGTCTCTCTCTCTCTCTCTCTCAGAAATAAATAAAACATTAACAAAAATAATAAAAAAAAGATTTCCTCTCGACAACCTGGGGAGAACACTGGACTTTCCCAAACCCTGAGCTACACAGCAAGTGGAGAAACTTGATAGACAGTGGACAACCCAAGACTTTAAATATGCCTGCCAAGCTGCATCCCGGATGTCTCGGTGGCCTCGGTGTCTGGTGGCCTCACCTTGTACACTGTGCCAAATGCTCCAGAACCCAGCACCTTGATCTTTTTGAATTCTGTTTCCTTTAAGATCCTCAAGAGAGCTTGGTTGGGAGCTTCTCCGCTGGGTGTAAGAGGCTCAACAAGCTGTGAGAGACAAGGAAGGACCGTCACCACCTCCAGCTCAGGCCCCCATGGGAGGCGGTGCAAGCTGGGCCCAGACACAGCCACGTGTGGATGGGCTTCAGCACCAAGAACCCACCGTGCTCACCCAAAAGGAGCAATGCACACCTTCTCTAAAGGACTTCAGAAAAGATATGTTGGGACAGGGGCTCCCTGATATGGGTGTCCTCGAACAGAACATCTCCATTTCAACATATGCAGTTTCTATTTCTGTTTCCAGCCAATTAGCCAGAGTGAGAGAATTCTGGCAAGGAAAGTTCTGATATGGTTGGTCATTTTGCTAGCCTATCGGGTCTCCTGACACACACAAGTGCCACTATGCTGTGAGCTGCTATGGGTCCTTCCTCCCAGAGGCTTTGGCTTCTGACATGCTGCTGGACACAAAGATGGCGGTCAAAGACCCAACTGAGTGAGTCACAGAGCTCAAAAAGTAACGGCACTACTGTAGACAATGGGATTTTCCAAAGTAGCATCTCTACACGTGCCTTCACAGCAATCACGGACACCTCTCCGCAGGCCCTTCTCCTGTGCGTGTACATGAGTGCTGTACGTTACACGGGACTCATGCGGCTCTTGTGTCCATGTCGTGAGACTTACAATAGAAACATCTGCATTTCACTCCAGAGAGGTACCAAAATGCAACTAATTAGTTGTAACTGGACATTCAGAGATTCTTTCTGGTTTTTCCTTCACAAGAAAGAAAGCATAATAATACGATTCCGTATTTAAAATACTTGGCAACACTTGGCAGGGAGGCCTTGTGCCTGGCTGGGGTGTTGGGGACGGGGACACCGGTGCGCGCCTGCGGGGCCTGAGCACCCACTCACCTCTCTCTCTTGCAGCAGCCTGCGAAGCGTGCGCTTGCGGACGATGTGGCGCCGGCGCAGAAAGAGGCCCACGCCCAGGGCCACCACCACCACCAAGAGGAGGCCGCCGACAATCCCCGTGGCGATGGAGGGAATCTTGGGCCTGGAACCAGAGGGAGACATGGGAAAGTGAGGTTTGGTGACAGATGCCATTACAGCAACCTTTTATGTATTTCCTGCATGTTTTCATTCATTGACATCATTTAACACTGTCTCAGAAAATAGATACCATGTGGCTTCTAAAGACAGGAAAGAAACCAAAGAGTTTCTAGGGAAGTGTTTCCACTTTCTTGAGCATAAGAGGCCCTGCCCCCCAGGTTTTTTTTGGATGTTTTAAATTGAGGTATTATCTGGACATCTCCATAGGACTCTCTCTCCTTTTCTTTTCTTTCCTTTCCTTTTCTTTCTTTCTTTCTTTCTTTCTTTCTTTCTTTCTTTCTTTCTTTCTCTCTCTCTCTCTCTCTCTCTCTCTCTCTCTCTTTACTTTCTTTCCTTCCTCCCTCCCTCCCTTTCTTCTGTCCTTTCCTTCCCTTTCTTCCTTCCTTCTCTCCTCCCATCCTCCCTCCCTTCCTATCCATCTATCTATCTATCTATCTATCATCTACTATCTATGTTGAGAGAGAGCATGTGTGCGTGCGCGCGTGCACACACACACACACACACACACACACACACACACGGGGCAAGGGCAGAAGGAGAGGGAAAGAGAGAATCCCAAGCAGGCTCCACACCCAGCCGAGCTCGGTCCATGAGATCATGCATGACCTGCACCAAAATCAAGAGTTGGACGCTTAACCAACTGAGCCACCCAGATGCCCCAACAATTATATTTTAATCGTTTGATTAAGAAACCACATAATTCCAAAAGGAACTCTGACTTCGGTAATGCTTTTTATATGAATTTGCACGTATCCTCAGAGAATCCGCATACGTATGAAGCCTAGAACATGACATCATGTGCATAAGACATGCATTGACTACTGGTGTGCCTGGGTGAGGACCCTTTTCATAATGTTGAGGTTCTTCAAAGAGTTCTTGGTTTTCAAGATGGAATGCCAGCCTTGTGGAATGCTTTATGAATAAGCTTGGGGAAGGTTATCATGTGATAGGATTTCAACATAAAAAGCATCATTGTCATAAATGAGTGAGGTCACCATACAACATCAAACCACTCTACCACGCTCTTCTTCCCACAAAGGTTGTGCTTGATTCAGAGATGGCAAAAACTCAAAATTCAGGTTCTAGAGCTCACTGAGGAAAGAACCATCTGAATTCATGGGACCTTAATTTAGAATCTTCAATTCTATAAATATAATCGATATTTATAGATTCTATAAATTCTGTGATATAATCTTCAAGTTCTAGAAATATAACCTGTATTAATTTAATATTAATTGTGTGATATTAATACTATTAACATTAATTTAATATACAAAGATTAATATTATATATTAAAGTTAAATAAAAAACCTTAAAATTATTGTTCTCAAGTATCTATTCCACTTAAGTTTCTGGCAAACTTCATATTTTCAGGAAGAGATGTTAAAGGCTATCGAAGATTAATTAGTATCATTAGCACGTTAAGTATCCTAACATCCTTACAAATCGCTTATAAGCGGGTCAAAGGGACTTCGTGACAATGATATTTATAACACTTTCTTCTCAGTGAGTGCACAAATCACCTCCTGCATTATACCATCTCCCCAATTAATGCAGTTTGGATTCATGAGTTTTTATTATATTGAAAGGAACACAAGAAAGATATAAAGAATAACTGATTACAGAGTATGTGCTCCGTGGGGAGCTACAGTAAGGGTGAGTGAATAAAAAAAGGAAGAAAAAATAAAAAGAGTAAAGATCACAAAGAATGGTCATTGGCTAGTTTCCAGGTGGGGCTTTGATGGAAAACCTCATTACGAAGCTACCAACAGTGGCATGGAGAGAGGACAAATTTTGCTGATGTCCCGGTAGGCTCAGCAAAGAGGAAGCGAGAAACTGCCTTATTTGTCTTTAATGTTTCAGTTGAGGGTGGGGCTGATTTGGGGGCAGAAGAGTCAGCTGAGCCGAAGGGCAGGTTGTTGACGGGATTTTGTAAACACTACCAGGAATGGAGGAGACAGCAGTTTAGTTAGTGTTGGGGATGTTGGGAATGATAAACAGGTGCTTTGTGCATCATTCTATTTCCCCCCTAGATACTGTTCATTGATAAAATCACTGTCTTGAGGGGACTAAACAGCAATTCCCAATCCTGCTTTTCCTAGCGCAGCACTTGAAGCAAGGATAGCAAATGAATCAGAATTGAAATGTTAACGGAAGCCGTAGTTGAGAAAGGGAAGTAAGGGGAGAAAATCCCCCCAAGCTGGAGCTTGGTCATCAAAGATGAAGGTTTGTGACGGGGTCTACCGGGTCATCAAGCAAGAAAAGAAGAGAAGCCAGAAGAAGGCTCTCACAGAATTGGTATAACCCAGAAGTCATAAACCCACTCCACATAAAGGAGGCACCGGGTACTGAGTCTCAGCTCCACATGGAATAGGTCCCAGAGCTCACATCCTGCAGCCCCACCGAAGCACACTGACGAAGTAGGCACAGGAGGGGTGGGTGCACCCAGCACAATGGTCTGCTGGGATGCGATGCCAGCCCAGAGGAGAAATAAGAACCTGCGACAGTAGGGGCACCCATGTGGCTCAGTGGGTTAAGCGTTGACCCTTGATTTTGGCTCAGGTCATCATTTCGCATTCGTGGGTTCGAGCCCCCCTTTTGGTTCAGAACCTGGAACTGCTTTGGATTCTGTGTCTCCCTTTCTCTTTACCCCTCCCTGGCTTGCACTCTGTCTCTGTGACCCAAAAAGTAAGATCAAACATGTTTTAAAAATCTGTTGAAAAAAAAAAAAAAGAACCTGTGAAGGTAGAGGGGAATCAGAAATGTAGGAAAGCATTATCTGTGCACACAGAATGTATGTTCCTTTCTGAGAAGGGCCACTGGACACAACTAGAACACTTACCCATCTATTGCACAGCCGTCAAGACCTGGTCCGACACAGCTGTGGGAATTGAGAGAGAGATACACATTTTGATCATTCTACTTCATTACCATTTTGTCTTCGAGAGTTTTTATCAAATCATAAGTCAGCGTGCATTTAACTACTCTCAGATCATTAGAACCACCATGAATCTCACTTTGGGGGACAGTGGTTAATCATTTATTTATTTTGTATGTATTCATTCGTTCACTCACTCAGCACATATTTTTGAGTGTTGGACTCTGTGACACAGACTGTTCTAGCATTGAGCAAAGTAGAAATTCTCTGGCCTTTGTTCCTGAAATGCGTTGGTGCGTACCTTAGGGTATAGGCATAGCTGTCTCATATCTGGCTGCAGAATGTCAGTACAGGCTGCGAAGGAGAGGCGGCCAACACTAGAGCCATACTGATTAAGGGGTAGGAGGGGAGGAACAGAGGCGTGAGGATGGGTCTCCGGGGCAGGGCAATGGCAGTGATGATTTTAGACCCAGGAATCCAGAGGTGGTACAGAAGCTGGTTTCCTGAAATGTCTTACATGCAACGGAGACAGCATTGGTCTTAAATGACTCCTGAGCAGCTGGGTCCTCATTCTAGTGAGGGAGGCCACCACCCCTTATTTTGATTACAGGATGACATAAAAAAGCAGAATACATTGGCTTCGAAGTACAGCAACATTTGCCAAGACAAACACCAATAGGAAAACAAAATATTCCAGTGAAATGGAGGAGACAACTCATGCTGTTGAACATGGATGGGCCTGGCGGGTAGTACACTAACTGAAATAAGTCAGACGGAACTGTAAGATTCCACCTATACACAGAGTCTAAAAAATAAAACAAATGAACAAATAAACAGCAGCAACAGACTCATAAGTACAGAGAACTGGTGGTTGCCATTGGGAGGGGGTGGGAGGATGAGTAAAATGTGTGAAGAGGTTAAGAAGTATAAACTTCTAGTTATAAAATAAATAAGACATGGGGATGAGAAGTACAGCACAGAAAATATAGTCAATAATGTAATAATTTCTTCTGGGGACAGGTGGGGACTAATGTATAAAACTGTCAAATCACTATGTCCTCCATCTGAAATGCACAGAACACTGAGAGTGTGGGCTATAGATGGGGGAGACTACCATTTCTCGGCCTGGGGAAGGAGGAAGGACTACATTTCAAGTATGTGAACAGGCCAGAGGCACCTGTCAAGTATCCCATTTTTACCTCAGTCAAGGGCTGGGATTTGTACCCAGTCTGTTCCCTCCCTCATTTCCAAGCTGCCCTGCTCCCTTCTCCCCAGTGCCTTTGGGCTTTCCTTCCTACAACACACACACACACACACACACACACACACATACACACACACACACACACACTGGCTTTTTCAGAAGTGGATGCATGGGAGGCCGCGCTATTTCACACTCTATTATCTCCTAGGGAAACCAGAACTCAATGACAAAAGGCATCACTAATTGAGGGACCACTGATAAGCTCCCCGCTCACTAGCTTCCCCCCCTTCTCCCCCCCCACCCCCCGCCCCAGTCTCCAGAAGGGAACACTATGCTAAGTGTGAGTGTAAATTGAAATTGTCAATGTTGGGACCTCATGCAGCGTTTTGGTCTTGTGTGCGTGTTTTTTTGCAGCCTCTGAAGGTGCCGCAGGGGTTACTAGGAGGAAGCCACTGACACAGAAGTAGCTCAGAGGGAAAGAAAAGCCAGTTTACATCTGAAAAGGCGACGTGCCCAGGTCAGTGACAGGACGGAGCCTCGATCTGATTGGAGTGTGGAGCTGGAGCCCCTTGTGAAGGCTGATGGCACCTTGGCATCATCTCGCAGAAACCATCGTCCAATATGAAGTAAAAGAGGCCACATCACGCTACCATTTAGTGCTGTCAGAAAACTTACCCTCTGTCTTCTATTTGACTTTTTTTCTTGTGACATACAATTAAAATAGGAAACGTTCTGTCCTGCGTCGTCGGTGCCGCAGCCAGAGCTGTCACTCACCCGTAGGTACAGTTTGGATGGCACAGGTGGCACATGCGATTGGCGTCAGCAAACTTCCAGACCAGGGTGTTGTTTTCTCCCATGATGCCCGCGGGGCAGGTCTTGACGCAGTGAGGGCCGTCGATGTAGTGGGCACACTGTACACAGCTGTCTGGTCCCTACACCAAGAAGGAGAGAGACATTTATATAGGTTTCTTTCTCTTTCGGAACTGAAGTAACTTTTTTTTTTTTAAATATTTTTATTTATTTCTAGGAGAGAGAGAGAGAGCAAGCGTGAGCAGGGGAGGGTCAGAGAGAGAGGGAGTCACAGACTCTGAAACAGGCTCCAGGCTCTGAGCTGGCAGTCAGCACAGGGCCCGACGGGGGGCTCGACCCACGAACCACAAGATCATGACCTAAGCGAAAGTCAGACGCTTAACCTACTAAGCCACCCAGGCACCCCTGAAGTAACTTTTTATTTATAATACCTAAAGTGAAAAAAAGTCAAACAACAGACATTCTTAAAGCGGAAACACAACAAGCTCGTCTGTGACTGCCACCGCTAACACCGTTAACTTGACCACTGTTCCCAGCCTACCGTGAAAGCTTCCTGACTTCAAGTGCATTTGCGATACGACAACAGAAAAGAAACTATACGCTTCATGAGAGGCTACTTAACAGATTGTGGGCAAGTTTCTTTGTCCAAACAATCTTGATGAGTCTACCCGTACGTTTACATCTCCATCGCTCAGATGGCATTGTTTGCATATCATATCTGAACTTAAGGTAACAGCTCTGTGGGAAGCCAGGCTTGCTAAGGAAGACTGAGGAAAGCCCACATCTGTGTTTCTCCAGAGACAAGTAGGCGGCAGGCAGGACAGTGGAGGGTGCATAACTGACTGTGTACCATGTGTATTTGATTCTGTTTGCCAAGTTCCGAGTGTTCTTTTTTTTTTTTTAATGGGCTTAAGTGATTTTTAAAATTTTTTTTAAATGTTTTTATTTATTTCTGAGAGAGAGAGACAGCATGAGCAAGGAAGGGTCAGAGAGAGAGAGAGAGAGAGAGATACAGATTCCGAAGCAGGCTCCAGGCTCTGAGCTAGCTGTCAGCACAGAGCCCAATGCGGGGCTCGAATCCACGAACCGTGAGATCATGACCTGAGCCGAAGTTGGACGCTTAACCGACTGAGCCACCCAGGTGCCCCCGGAGTGTTCTTAAAAAACTCATAGTAAGTGAAACGAGATTGCTCGCGTTGTGCCCTGCACATCGCATGAAGGGAGTGAAATACAGCTGGTCGCGGAGGATGTGCTCATTGGTGGAGTTCTCTGATGTCTCCGTTTTGTCCAAAGACTGAGCGTTCCCTGAACCAGAACAATCAGATGACTCAGTCAGAATCATCAATCGACTTATCTCAGTGACGAAAATTTAACCGAACACCATGTGAACTTGTAAACCAATGGTTTACTTTGTGACCTTCCCTGGGAGCAGCCTACACCTCAAAACACAGCCTTCGGCCTGATTCAGAGACAGCTTCTGAAAAATGTTTGCAATCAGTAGATTTAGATACGGCTGTGGAAGCTCAAAGCCACACAGAACTCCTTATAAATAATATTGAGAACGAACAACATTGGGACACTGGTGTGAGGAAGACCTGAATTCTCACTTACACTCTTTATGTAAGTAGAAAGCTGAATTTTGAAAAGTTTTGCTAGGTGTTTCTTTAAAAGAATTTTTTTTTAACGTTTATTCATTCTTGAGAGAAAGAGCGTGAGTGGGGGAGGGGCAGACAGAGAGGAGGAGACACAGAGTCCGAAACAGGCTCAAGGCTCCCAGCTGTCAGCACAGAGCCCGACGCAGGGCTCGAACCACGAACCATGAGATCATGACCTGAGCCAAAGCTGGGCGCTTAACCGACTGAGCCATCCAGGCGCCCTGCTAGGTGTTTCTTTACAAGTTCTTCAAGTAACTGTGAATGAATGTTAAGTAGGAATCTGATGGTGCTTGATTAAGATGACGAATCAATGATGACATGGTGACAGATGTCAGAAACAGTGAAAACTGGCTGTCGAGGTACCCAGCCTCCTACAGGCATCCCTGGTTTTTGGTGAAAGAGTAGATGTCATTAGATCCATTGGAGGGTGTTGGACAGAAAGGGTGAGGGCTCCCGCAATGTGGGTTGCGTGAGGAGTCAGCTCGACCACAGCCTCTTTGGCCCAGCTGTGAGGTCACAAGGCCCCCGTATGGGCATGGCTGGCTGTCTTTGGCAGCCACAGACTGACATTGGCCCATCGCTATGGTTCTGCTGCTGGACAGGTGTGTCCCTTGGATGTGTGAGTGAATTAACATCAAATGTGCTCCTTACTCTTCCTGTGCAGGTGACATTCATGGCCTGGGGCAGGCATTCCGGATGGCACTGTATGCACTCAGAATTCTCCACAAACTCCCTTGGCTCCCTGAGAGGAGAAAGAAAACGGGTCAGTGCCATATCTTTAGAGATACTAATTCAAATCCCTAGCAAGTTATAACCCACTGGAACCGTGTGAAATTCCAGGTGACACAAATCACCTTTCTCAGAAATGCAAGAAAGAATTTTGGGAAACATTTAACAGTAGGGAATCCAGGATTCTATTGTAATATGATAAACCATTTGTGTTAACTGAATCCTTCATCATTTCTCCCTGAATAAATACACAAGCTTCATTTATAAGCAAAACATCTTACCTACATTTTTCTCTAAGGCACAGTTTTTGTCTATTAGGTAAACAAGCTAATAAATGAAAAAAGTAATAGTCCTTAAAGGTGACCTCCTACCCCCCCAATATCAGATTCATGGATATTTAAATCAAGCTAGAAAGAAATGGTAACTGTAGATTAACTCACAGGAAAAGGAAGGAGAGATATTAAGACTTACTCAATGGTTATTAATAAAACAAAGTACGGAACACAGGTGTGAACAATTGTGCTTGTAATAGTTTTGCTATTCCTCAAAGATGTATGGGTCAACATTAAGATGATGTTTCTAAAAAAATTTTTTAATGTTTACTTATTTCTGAGAGGGAGAGAGTGCAGGTAGGGGAGGGGCAGAGAGAGGGAGACAGATTCCGAAGCAGACTCCAGGCTCTGAGCTGTCAGCACAGAACCCAACGCGGGGCTCGAACTCATGAACCGTGAGACCATGACCTGAGCCAAAGTCAGACACTTAACTGACTGAGCCTCCCAGGCACCCCAAGAAGATGATGTTTGATTGAAAAGGCGAAACAGTGTGACAGCTATTAAGACTGAAAGCTGCCTAGTAACCAACTGCAGGTCTTCATGCCCATGAACAAGGAAACACAAGGAGTAATTACACCCCGCAACGTGTTCCTTAAGTCTTTTTTTTTTTTATTTTTTTAAAAAAATTTTTTAATGCTTTATTTATTTCTAGGGGAGAGAGAGAGAGAGAGAGAGAGAGAGAGACAGCATGAGAGGGGGGGGGGGTGAGAGAGAGGGAGTCACAGACTGAAATAGGCTCCAGGCTCTGAGCTGGCAGTCAGCACAGAGCCCGACGCGGGGCTTGAACCCACGAACCGCGAGATCATGACCTAAGCAAAAGTCAGACGCTTAACCGACTAAGCCACCCAGGTGCCCCTGTGTTCCTTATGTCTCAAGTTTTCCCTTATGTCATCAATTAAACCAAATGCGCCCAATTGTTTGTTTGTTTGTTTTTTCCTTCCCTTCTTCTCTGGGTCAAAATGCCTGCTGGAGAAGCCAGCGTTGCAAACTGAGCAAGTGCTGCCAGACACCAGGGTTCCCGAACCGAAAGGCATGGGCACCAATAACATGGTTCCCTCTCCCTTTAAAAATGTGGAAAACATAAGATTCATATCTATTCATAGCAGTAAGGATTGCACTCAGATTCCTTCCTTGTTGAAACAACACTGTCAATTATCCACATGACTCTGTTAGGTTACTCAGCTTCTCTGCTAAAGGATTCCTACAGAATTAGACTTAGTCTTCTCACCCTGATCCTCAATATTTCTCTTTTTTCATGTATATTTATTTTCAGAGAGAGAGAGAGAGAGAGAGCACGCAAGCGAACTAGTTGGGGGGGGGCACAGAGAGAAGGGGACAGAGGATCTGAAGTGGGCTCTGTGCGCATAGCAGCAAGCCCCAAGTGGGGCTTGAACTCACGAACCGTGAGATCATGACCTGAGTCCTGAGCCGAAGTCAGATGTTTAACCAACCGTGCACCCAGGAGCCCCTGAGTATTTCTGAATCCATGCTGTGGCCCAAGACCTGACTGAAATAAGGAGGAAGGCTTCCTTTAGCCACCTGTAATTCCTACGTCTTGTCTCTCTCACAAAATGTCCCTTTTCTTTAAATTAAAAAGAAAAAAGGCCCCTGCTTCTCTCTATCCTTATATTTTACTTTCCTATTAATTTATTTTTAGTCATTATTTGTAGTCATTTGTGGTCAAAGCTTTACATCAATATCAAGATTCCCATAGATTCAAGAGACTGTACTTTTAACCGAGTACAAATAAGTCCAACAAAGTTTATATGATTGTTTATTTCATGGGGCGCCTGGGGGGCTCAGTCGGTTGAGCGTCCAACTTCAGCTCAGGTTGTGATCTCACAGTTTGTGGGTTTGAGATCCGTGTCGGGCTCTGTGCTGACAGCTCAGAGCCTGAAGCCTGCTTTGGATTCTGTGTCTCCCTCTCTCTCTGACCCTCCCCTGCTCATGCTGTCTCTATCGCTCTCTCAAAAATAAATAAAACATTTAAAAAAACTGTATGATTGTTTATTTCTTTGCCCATGGCTATATTTCAAGTTATTTGCACTGTTTGCTATTTCTTGAACATAAAACAAAATTTAACCAGGAAATACACTTTGTATTACTATATTTTGATCCTGCAGGAAGTGTGTCCTGCAAAGAAAAGTCTAAGTGGCTGTGGTCTTGGCCACATGAACCACTTACGACTTTTCCATTTGTCTTGGGAACTTTGTGTGGCTTTGAAAAATATCAGATATTTCCCAAACTGAGACTCTATAAATGAGTGGATTGGATTAAGTAAATGCAAAGTGTTTGTTCATTTCCTTTTGTGGCTAACAGCTGTCAACAAACAAACAAAAACAAGGGGAAAAGTATCAAAGTGAACAGCGGTAAATCGATCATAATCGCCTTATTTTTTATCAAAACAAAGGGGTTAAAAAGTAACCTTACCCCTCCAGAACATTGCACTTCTCCACACATTCCTTGCCACGGGTGACGTTTTGGCAGGACACACAGTCTTTCGGCTCCGGGCCCCAGCAGCCCTCCGATGAGCATAATGGATGACAGACGTGGCCTATGGCCTCTGAGAAGACAGAGTGAGCCACACGGAGTCAGCTAGGACAATGACTAGTGGGGCCAGTTGAGGCAGCACCTATAAATGGGGTGCTGGGTTCTCTGTGACCTTGAGCTGCACAGACATGCTGCGGGGCGGCGGGGGGAGGCTGCAACAAGCGGTAACACAAAATGGGCTTCTAGAGGCCAACTGCAAGTTCCCTTTTCCTGACTGGGAGTCAAGGGTTCCTGGCCTGGACCTGGAGAACATTTCACTGATGAGTGTCATAGCTGACGGGGACACGGGGAAGGTTTATGGTTTCTTGCTGTGTGCCGGGCACCGTGTCAAGAGTGTTATATACAGAATGTCATTTCATTCTCTCACTAGCAGTGGGAATCACTGCTGTCTCCATTTCATGGATGAGGAAGCCAAAGCCTAAAGATATTAAGTACATTGATCAAGGTCTGGAAGCTAAGAAGGGCTAGAGGCAGGATTTGAACTCAGATCTGGTCCTCCCAGTGATGAGGGTCTCAGTAAAACACAATGCCCATGACTTGGTTTCAAACGCAGCCTGTGGCTCTAAAATCAGATGAGGAAATGTCACTGTAAAATGCCCATTCTATCTGCATGCGTGTTGCTAGCTAGAATCATTAGAGGCTGAAATGAGTGGGGAGAAATCTATGGCTAAAAGGTAAAATAATTAATGCTAAATTTAGCTCTGTACATTACACATAATTGACAGCTTAAACCTCAAGGCAAATTCGTCCTATGAAATGTGAATGATCTGGAAACAATTCCAATGAACTTCCCATGATGACTTCACATTGTAGGACTATATAGATTTCTGTTAATTTGCTTCTTTAGGAATAAAAAATGTTAGTTAAAATGTTTGGGAATCTTCTAGATCAACATAAATGACCCATGTGAACCATCCCCATGATCAACCAAAGTGATTACTTACTGCAGCTTTTTTCATCCTTGTTGTTTATAATTTTGGTTTTCTGACTTGAAGTCCCAAACAGTTTTTTCCAGTGTATTGTGTTTGCATAGCACAATTTGTGGTTTCCTGAAATGATCACATCTCCATCACTTATCTCCTTGAGGGAGCGTAATCCCAAGGATGATATGTCCAGGCCGACAACCGCAAGAGAAAACTGACCACTACAGTGGAGGGAAGAAAAATGACATTGTGAAAAATGAGGGAAAAATCATATCACTAAAAGCTTTATTTCTATTTTCTTCTGGACCACCTTATATTTACTACAAACCTCCTCCCAGTGATTGTAAATCTTATGGCAGGAACTCTGTATTGCAACTTTTGAAAATGACAGATTTTTTTTAAGCTCCTCCAGGGAAAAGCTAGTTCTTTGTTCATTTACTATCTTTAACCCCAGTGGAATACTGAAGGTGACCAAATGTTAACGTCCTTATTTTATTTACTACGTTTTTTGGGGTTTTTTTTGTTTTTTTGGCCTGGGAACTGAAAAGCATCTTCTTTTTTTTAATGTTTATTTATTTATTTTGAGAGACAGAACAAGGGCATAACAGAGAGAGAGAGGGACAGAGAGAGAGAGAGAGAGAGACAGAGAGAGAGAGAATGCACAGGGGAGGAGCAGAGAGAGAGGGAGAGAGAGAATCCCAAGCAGGTGCCACACTGTTAGCATGGAGCCTGATGCAGGGCGTGAATTAACTGTGAGATCATGACCTGAGTCGATCAAGAGTTGGACACTTAATGGACAGAACCACTCAGGTGCCCTGAGACCATGTTCTCACCCCTCAAATATTCAAAATACACTTCAAAAATCATAGGTTCATTTTTTCCATCCACCCACCTACTCATTCATTTATTCATCTACTCACCCATCTATCACTCCACTTGTCTATCTACTTATCTAGGCATGCATGCTTCCATCCATCTATTTTTCCACCTATCTATCCACTTCTCTATCTATCCATCCACCCATCCATCCTATCATCTATGCATCCACCCATCCATCCATCCATCTAGCCACTCATCTATCCACTCATTCATGGATTCATCCAACCATCCATCCACTCATCTATCCATCAATCCATCCATTGGCCACCCATCCATATACTGAACAAACATCTGAACCACCCAAGTCTGTGCTGGAACTCTATAAGGCTATCAACATGTTTCCATCAAGTGACTGGATAAAAGTAATTCCGACTAAAAGGAGGGAAATCCTGAACCACCAGGAGGAACAGGAAGGTGAGAAAGCACCCGATGGGTGCTGAGAACCAGGAGCTACTGCAGGAGCAGAAATCTGGAGGCCAGGAGGCTTGGGCAAGGGGTCTGGGGAGGGTGGAGGAGGCCAGAGCACAGAAGACCTGGGACCCCCTGAGCTTGGTTGTTGTCTGCAAATGACGGGGGACCACAGGAAAGAGAGTTGCATTTTCAGGAAGCTCACTGGACACCAGGACAGGGAATGGACCAGCTAAGGCAGCACTGAAACAGGAGACATCAGGCAGGAGATGACAAAAGTTGAATGTGGAGACCTCTCCTCTCCTTGTTTCTCTTTCTCTCCTGACCCTTTCTTCCTTCTCCCTTCCCACAACCTAGCTCCAGTGGAGAGCAAGGAGCCCTGTGTTGAAGATCTGTAGCTCTACTGTTCAGGAATTCTCTCTCAACATGTGCCCACGGAAGCCTAGGGACAAAGCCGGTGTCTTCCTTGCAGGGCAGACTGGGCTCTGATTAGCTATACCTGGAGCCAGCGATCACCCTGCCCTGGTAGGGATTGTGTATCCCTGGACTTCCCATTAAATGTGAAAAGGTAAAAAAGTAATTCTAATTTTGCATAAATTCCTAAACCCAAGCCAAGTGGTACTTGCCAGTCACTCAAGAAAACTGATCTAAATCTCTTATCTCTGTAGGAATCCTGGGCAAAAGAAGTGTTCTCGAGAACTCAGAACAAAGGGGTCTTACTGGGAAGCAATGGTTAGTGTCAAAGACGCACACCCAAGAATGTTTTTACAAAGTGGTATATATTTTATGGGTACTGTATTTCTCATTTTCTTTAATACATTTTTAAATGTTCATTTCTTTTGAGAGAGAGAAAGAGAGAGTGCACATGAGCGGGGGCGGGGGGCGGAGAGAGAGAATCTTGTCAGGGCAAAGCCTGTGACATGAGGCTCGAACTCACCATCTGTGAGATCATGACCTGAGCCAAAATCAAGAGTAGGACACTTAACCAGACTGAGCCACCCAGGCGTCCCAGGATTTTCTTTAATATTGAATGATATTATGCAGTCATTTTAAGGGACAATTAATGAGGAATAGTTCTCAGCATCAGACTGTTTCTAAGGCAGGTCTGACAAAGAAATTCTCAAAGTCTTTCTCACCGCAAACTCGTTACGACTCTTAACTAAATTCAAGATGCTTCTATGGGAGTATATCACTGTCAGAGTTGGAAAAGTGGAAACCCTGAACAAATCATTTATTAACAAGTCTGCCAGCCCCGTCTGATGGGGTGCGCTCATAAGGACATATCATCTCAGTGCCCTTCTTAATAAAACATGCATGAGCTCCATGAAATCATGAGAAAACATTGGCCCTTCTACAAAAGACTTGACCAGGACTTTTAAAAACTGTCGAGGCCATAAATGAGAAGACGATACTCAGGAACCGTTACAGATGGGAGGGGACTAAGGAGACACAGCAACTAAGTGCAGTGTGGGGTCCTGGACCGCACACTGACACGTGGCGTTCACGGGCAAGCTGGTGACACAGGTGTCACAGACCACAGATGTCTGGTGGTGGAGTCAGTGCTGTGCCGATGCCAATGTCTTCCTTTTCCTCTCGTGCCATGCTTAGGTGAGATGTGAACAACGGGGCAAGGGGCCTGGGGTACAGATGGCAGCTCTCTGTAGGATCTCTGTAACGGCTATATAAGCCTAATTTCAAATATTCCATAGGTCTTATTGAAAAGAAAACTGTTTTTAAATCTACCAGGCTTTGGCTCGGGTCAACTTACTGTTGCTTTGTTCTTCCACGTATGATTTCTAGGTTCTCAAAAGCGTGGAGGTCAGTCCTGTTTTCAGGCCAGGCCTGAATCAGCAAAAACCCTACAGAGGCAGAAGGAAGGCTCAGACACGCACCAGCATATACAGTTCTTTTTAATGAGACATGTTAGTTTTCTTGAGAGACTGGATTAGGAGCCACAAAGGTGAACATCTGATTGGATTCGGTTTCTCATCTTTACCCTACCCACGAGGAGGTACAAGCTGAGGCACAACTGTACAGTGGGGATCCTGCCCCTCCCATAGAATCCCCCGTCCCTTCCTGCCTCTCCCCCACCACCCACCACCCCCACGGGCTGTCCCATGGTGCCGCGGCCCCGGCAGCCTTGCTGGGCTCTGATGACCCAAACTGGCTCCTTGATGACAACTGCCATGTCTTGAGCTGTTATTACACAGAAAGAGATTCACAGATTTTCCTTACTTTATTCCAAACTTCCAAACAATCTTAATATTTAGGTCGAATTATTCCCTTTTTAGGGATGAAGGCAGCGGAGCTCTGATGGCAGTCACGAACCCAATGCTTGCCGGTGGCCGCGCAGGGACGTGGAGTCCTGTCTGTGAGGCTTGAGAGCCTGTGCTCATCCCTCAGCACTCTGCCCTTCTTTTCCCTACCCGTGACAGTCACTGGGCCATCAGGACGGCTGGCCGGGGCCGAGGAGACACAGGGTTAAACATGTTCACGCAAAATCTGGAATGACTCAAGCCTTTGATTAAAGTGTTCACCCCTCACATGTGAGGGAAATTGCATTTGTGAAAATGACCAAAGAACTCATTAGTCATTAGTGGTAGACGTTTGGAAGAGATGTTTTTATGCCGAGAGAGAAGAGAACACATCTACAAGTTCTCTCTATACAACACCGATTTCCTATTTCTGTTCATGTGATATGTTAGCAGCACACACCTGTTATTTCCTTTACAGTTTTTAGAATATCCAGTTCCTTTGGATCTAGAGGTAGAGTTCGTGTGAAGGAGTCACTGAAAAACAAGCCACGAAATGATTATCGATTAACAATCTCTACCAGCAAACAAAGTGGATTCTGTGTTTCTCTCTACCAGTGACTTAATCTGCTACTTACCCTCTAAATGCTACTGGCAGGATATGAAGATCTCCACTGATTGAGGTGCAATTTTTGAAGTGTTTAATATTTGTAGCATTTATGGAGAGTGTGTCTTTAAATTCACCAATCCCAATTCCATTACAAACTGTGAAGAGAAGGGAGATGTTTACTCCACTCACATATGTTGGATTAAGAGTAGCCAGGGCTCTACAAGGGGAGGGAAGCGGGAAGGGGACAGTAGCCATGAACCTATCAGCACCATGCCATCATTCATTCGTTCAACAAACATTCATGGAGGCTGGCTGGGCACCGTAACTATGGCGGGGCTTGGAGTTAAGTGGCTGGAGATGGCGGAGAAGGTCCTCATTGCCGTTGCTACCCTCAACTGGATTTGGGTTCTCCTCCTAACGATTTCCCTCCTGAACTTAGTCTAATTGCTCTTTTTTTTTTTTAATGTTTATTTCTTTTTGAGAGAGAGACAGAGACAGAGTGTGAGCAGGGGCAGGGGAGGGGCAGAGAGGGAGACCCAGAACTCGAAGCAGGCTCCAGGCTCCATGCTTGAACCCACGAACTGCGAGATCATGACCTGAGCTGAAGTCGGACGCTTAACGGGCTGATCCACCCAGGCGCCTCTTAGTCTAATTGCTCCTAACTACTCTTGGCTTCCTCTAGTTTGTGTCCTTGGCAATCCACCTGCTGCCGCCAGCAAGCCTCTGCCCGGCATTGCCCTAAAACCCAACACCTTTCCGTTGTTCTAACCTGGCTGCAGCTTTGTCGTCTGTCTTAAAGAAACAATGGGCACAGATTTTTTTTTTTTTTTTAATTAGAAAGAGTAAGGTGCGTTCATTTGAGGATGTTGAAAAATAGAATAAAGGGACTAAAATGACCAGAAGTTCCGCTATAGGGTATTTTGAAAAGCGCCCCTTCTGGCTATCCTCCACGGTGATGTCACAACAGATCTGTATTTTTTCTCCACTTATTCTGCTGTGAACATTCCTCAGATCATCTAAGCTATTCGTCGAACGTGACTGTTAATGGCTGTCTTCTATTACATCATGGGGAACACTGTAATAACTCTTATCAGATAAACTGCTTTTTCTTCCCCTGTGTTTACTTGAGCCACATGCTTTGATCTGTGTCCTATTGCTACACCAGAGTCTCAGATGCTCTTTTCCACACCCTGAGCCCATTTATTAATTTATATCCACTTCTAAGTTTCCATCTCAAATGCATCTCCACCCTGCAGCCCGTATTTATCTGTTGTAATTTTCCATCTAGAATTTGCCGAGAAATTTTGGTACCTATCTTCCAGACTTATCTTGACTTTGAAGTACAGTCACTGTTCAGGATAAGGTCCTATCCTGTCCTCCCTTGAACTTCTAGGAGGTGCAGTCAAGCCCCTGCTGTTCCACCTCCGTGCTCTGTTCCACCCGAAGTCTCTTGTTGCAAGGAAACTTTCCACCGGCGACTCTGGTGGCCCAAACTGTCCACTGGGTCTTCAGGCTCACTCTGTGTGCCGGCCTCCTCTCTGTTCTGGGGAGCGGCTCTAAGGACTCCTATGTTGACCAGCTCAGCCAAACCTTCCTGGGCTGCACCCACCTGCATTGTGGGCTTGGGGGTTGGCCAGGCCTCCCGAGGATTCATAGGGTCTGGCTGACAATAGAGAATGAGGTGACCATATAAGGACTTGCTATTTCATTACAGGTCTGGCAGAGAATTCCATGCATTTGAGAGAATATTCATTCTCTCTCTCTCTCTCTCTCTGCTTGTGTGTAACAGTGGGGGCAGGGTTCCTTTAATTCCTAAATTCAGAGATAAATTCTGTATTCACCCCTAGACATTCCTGGCACTGCCATCCTTATGCAGGGGCGCTGCCCTATATCTGGAGGGATCTGAAATGGGGATGTGCAGAAAAATAGGTCAGAATAATTACAGGAGAATCAACTGTTTGTTGAACACAAAATGAATGGAGCCAAGCCCACACCACCTCTGACTGTACGAGTCCGTGTGGGGCTGAAGTAACCCTCTCTCTCTCCTCGGCAGTCTCTTCTCTTTTACTCCCTCTGTGCCAGGCACTGGCCCACATGCTTATTTTGGTCCTTCTGTGCCTCCTCTGCCAACATCCCTTTCCTGAAGCCAGAGGCTACTCTGTCCATCAGGGCACTGACCCGCCTGGCCCACAGGAGTTATAAGACCAGGAAGACATGGACTTGGCTGATGAGCTCATGGGTCTGGCCTGGGACCAAGCTTGCATGGACTTGAAATCTTGGCTGTTAGTCTTAGCTGTTGAAACGTGGGCAAGTCATTTAGACTCTGTTACTCAGCGTCCTCATCTGTGGAATGGGGATTACGATAACACACACCTCCCAGAGGCGTTGGGAGGATTCAATGCCATGGAGGACACGTGTCAAATGCCTATGGGAGCAAAGAGGGGAGCAATCAGTTTCAACTGAAAAGACAGATGGCTTCACAGGGAAGGCAGCACCTGTGGATAATCGAGGTAAGCAGCTGTGCACTGAGGTGTCGTCTAGAACACCAAAATAGTGGAATAATCAAAATGAGCGCATAAAGGGAGATCGGTTGAAAAAATTCTGGCACAGCCACAGAGTAGGGCCTATGCAGCTGTACTGCAGAGTGAAGAAGATTCACGCGGACTTATCCGGAGTGATTTCTAGGATTATTAAACTGAAGAAGCAAAGTACAAAGAGTGTAGACAGTAGCTTTCGGGCAGATGACATGACTGGGACACAGGCACCAACTGGGGAGGCTCCCGCCAGCCACATGTTGAGCTAATCTGAGCACACAAATGAATGACAGGAACGAATGACAAGAAATTGAATAAAGAAGGATTCCACGAGTTTATGTAGGAACTAAAAAAATTTTTTTAAAGAATGCCAACTAATACATGTAGAAGAAATGACAGAAAGGGAAAATCCCTCTTTTATAACCACCAAAAAGTCTTTTCTGGTTCGTCATCATTAGTCATGAAATCACATGGCATCATATGTCACTTGCTGAGAGACAACGAGAGGAAATCGATACGGCTTAGGCAATGCTCCTGCCCCAAAATACTCCACGTGAAAGCAACCGTAAGAACAGCCAGTGAAGCTAAACGGAGGCGCCTTCTGCAACATATCTGGCCTAGACCTTCACATCAGGTCATGGAAGACAAAAGGAAAGCAAGTGGGGAGGAGAGCGGAACCACCATCATCAATGAATGAAGAAAATGGGGGCAGGATATCTACAGGAAGCCCATGATTGTTGACTGGGGTCTGGCTTAAAGAGCAGCTAAAAATGACTTAATTGGGACAGAACGGGGAAGTCTGAACTTGCTAGGAAAGAGTACTGAGTCGACGTTAAACAATCCTGAGTGTGAATCTGCCCTTCCTTACTTAGGAGAATGGCCCCCTTTGTAAGAAAATATGCTGACAGATGTAGGGGTGAAGTGTTACGATACCTGTAACCGTCCTATAGATCAGAAAACAATTTCACCCATGCGTGCACACATACACATATGCACACACACATCCACACAAATATGGAGACAGTGAAAGCCGTGGGGCAAAACACTAACCAGTGGTGAACTCCTATATGGGTGTTCACTGCACTATACTTGCAATATTTCTGGGGTTCAAAAATTTTTACAAAAATGATAAAGTAAAGGTCAAAGTGGGAGTACATTGGCATTGAGGATTCTCTGAGAATATGGCACAATATGATGGAACAAATTTCCGAGCTTGAAGAAAGAGATTTCCTCAAATCTCTTCCGAGTCTGATGCCGAGGGGGTCTGGCGGAGGTAGGGCGAGAAACCCCTGCTTCTTGACCAGGGAGAAAGCCTTGGCTCCACACTGTGCAGGCCTCTTACCTTTGCGGCAAGGCCCCTCACACTTTTTACACTTGCGGACGCCATCTTCCTCCACCTCGTAGCTGTCAGAACTGCAGGCACGGACACACGAACCGTGGTCTGTCACCACGTAGTTACCTGGGGAGAGACCAGGAAAGGAAGGTGGTGAAAGCAGCACCAGGTGTTTCTAGGCCTCACACAATTGTCTCCTGTCCTCCTACAAAGGGGCTGGTGAAAGAGGCCTCTCACCCTCTGCTTTTATTTACCTTAAGGACAAAGAATGAAAGGTCGCAAACAGAAAAGGAATGACGTTCAAGAGTTTTGAACAGCTTATCCAGCCGCGGTACAGAGAGAGAGATTTCAGCACGGCAGGAGACGGACGTGTCAGGTAGAGCCTGGTGTCTGCTCACAAGTTTAGAAACATCTCTTCACAGCTCATTTTTCTGAACGTTCTACTTTCAGGACCTATGGTTAAAGCTTGAATACTTATTAAAAACTAAGTGACCTTGACCAAAGCCCGCTCTCCCACAGAAGCTGCCCCATTTGCGGATGCACGTAAATTGTGTGGCCGACATGCTCCCCTCTGCGGTCTTGTCCGGCCTGACAGCCTTCCCTCTGCTGGGGGCTGGTACCACCAGCTGGTGCTACATCGAGCCAGGCACAAAGCCTCCCTTCACATGACTTAATTCATTTACATTAACATTAACACAAATATTAATGTGTTTCTGGAGCAAAACAGGTGTTCTTATTTTGACTTCCCCCAGTATGTCCTCACACAGATTTCCTGGACATTTGTAATTTTTCTTTCTGTAAGTTGTCTGCTTTTCTGCCAAGTTCTGTTTTCCTGTGGATTTAAATTTTTTTTTTAATGTTTATTTTTGAAAGAGAGAGAGAAGGAGTGCCAGCAGGGGAAAAGCAGAGACAGAGGGAGACACCAAATCCAAAGCAGACTCCAGGCTCTGAGCTGTCAGCACAGAGCCTGACACGGGGCTCGAACTCACCGACCATGAGATCATGACCTGAGCCAAAGTCGGATGCTTAACCGACTGAGCCACCCAGGTGCCCCTGTTTTCCTATGGACTTTTAAACTCTACCTAGTAATCTCTCATTCAGAGATAATACCTGTGTCATAACTGTGGCAATTTTTTGAAATGCTAGTCAGTTAGCTCCAGTATAGCAGTGTACTGTTCAACTTGTGTGTTATTTTTTTCTGTATAGAATTTAAAAGCTCTCATGATCACAAATCTGGTAGGGCAATGGTCCCCCTCATAACGGTGCCTACGATTTTTTTCTCTTAGTTAATTTCCCCCTCCCAGAAATTAGGAATGGTTTCTAAAGCTCTTTAATTAGATGAGTCTACACTTTCTCTATTAGGACATAATTCACATCACCATTTCCCTGAACACTATAGCCATCTGTAAAGGGCAAATGCAAATAAGCAAAGCCCAATCCAAAACAATGAAAACAAAACCAATCAACACACAAAGTCCCTCCTGTGCAGTGTCAGAACCCCTAAGAAGCCCAATTTTGACCAGGATTTTAACCACTGAAGAAAGCGGGTCATGTGACACACTCTCTAACGTTGGTGTGCTGGGGACAAGAGCTAAGCAGTGAAATGGCCCAAGGGCCGTGGGTGTGTGCCAATCAGACAACCGAATATTCGGGACTGCTTCAGCCGGGCCTCGGTCCCAGGGTGTGTTTCTTGTCCTGGTCACCATGGACACAAAAACTGACCCCGGTGAACAGGGCACCAGCCATCGCCTGTCACCGACGGCAGTGTTGGGACACTTTCCTATACAGTTGGACAGGCCTGTGGTCGCCTGCCTGACAGCGAGGCAAACCTATGGACAAAAAGATGACCCGAGACAGAGGGACTCAAGGATTCCAGTAGGAGACAAAACAGGACACGGATGCCCGATAACTGAAAGGGTTTTGCATGTGATGAACTCACGGGGGCATTTCTTCACGCAGGTGGCGCCGAAGCTGTATTTCCCCTCTGGGTTGACGTCCATCTGGTAGGTGGTGGGGTTGTAGAGCATGAGAGGCGGGCAGGTGTCCTTGCACGTGGCTTCATCCCGGAACTTGCGGCAGACCTGTTGACAGGAGGGACATGCACTTGGTCAAGCTGGCAAGGATGCTCACACCGTGTCGTCTGTGCAGAAAGCTCAGGTTACAGTTCTTTGTTTTTTTAATCTGTGTGTGTGTGTTTATTTTTTTTAATTTCTGAGGGAGAGAGAGATAGCATGAGCAGGGGAGGGTCAGAGAGAAAGGGAGACACAGAATCCGAAGCAGGCTCCAGGCTCTGAGCTAGCTGTCAGCACAGAGCCTGACGCGGGGCTTGAACTCACAAACCATGAGATCATGTCCTGAGCCGAAGTCAGACGCTTAAGCAACTAAGCCGCCCAGGCACCCCAGGTTACAGTTCTTAATGTCCAGGAATTTGATTAGAGCAAACACAAAAGCAAAAGCAAAAACAAAACAAAAAACCAAAAAACCAGCAAAGTACTTTCAGTAGAGTCAGAAAGACCTTTCTCTTAAAAGTATGACTTTTCTTACACTGTCTGAGCTGTGACAATTTATGGTTTATGATGGAAAAAAATACATCTTTATTAATTACAAAAGGATGAAAGAGTTCACATACTAGAGTGATCGCTATGGAGTGAAATTATTTTTAAGCTCAATTGACATTGGGTTTCCCTTATATAGAACACTTGAGGATATGTTTTAAACATTTATTTTTTAATTTTTATTTGGGGGCGGGGGCAGGGGGAAGAGGGAGATGGAGAATCTCAAGCAGACTCCATGCCCAGCGCGGAGCCTGGATGATATATTTTAGAACTTAATGCCAAATTGCAGATAACCTGGAAATCTGGCCATGTGTAGCAACATGGATGGACCTTGAGGGTGTTATGCTGAGAGAAATAAGTCAGGCAAACAAGGACAAATACCATATGTTTGCACGTATAGGAGGATTAGGAGGAACTTAACGGAGGACCAAGGGGAGAAGAAGGGGGGAAATAGTGGGGGAGGGGGAGAGAGGCAAACCATGAGAGACTCTTGAATGCTGAGAACAAACTGAGGACTGATGGGTGGGGGAGGGGAGGGGGGAGATGGGCATGGAGGAGGGCACTTGTGGGGGTGAGCACTGGATGTTGTATGGAAACCAACTTGACAATAAACTATTTGTAAAAATAAAAAAAAAAAAGAAAAGAAAGAAAAACAAATTGCAGATAACCTTGATGAGGAAGGGTCCCATGCAGAGGGGAGCAGATCATATACGGTCATGGACCTGAGATCTGCCTGCCATCTCCCTTCCAGGGGCACATCAGAACCAGCCCAGACCATCCAAGTCAAAATCCCGGCCAGGTCCAGCCTCTGGCCTTTAAAAATCCTTCCTTCCCTTAAACTGGAGACTTCCGGATTCCACCCCCTGCCTGAGCCCACGAGGGTGTCGTCCGTCGCACTCGGTGCTGCCTCCGGACTCCCGTCTGCCAGCCCTCGTGTCCCAGGGCTCCCGCGGTGCCCACAGTTGAGGCACCACCTACATGTGGTGCCCACAACCCTCTGGGGCAACAAGGCATTTGCTAGAGCTTTGTAGTATCAGTGACAAAAGTGACTGCTTCAAAACCCCACGTCGGGGAGGGGGGCGGTGGGCAGAGGCTCTGAGCTGCAGTGGGAAGAGCAGAGGGACTCGGTCAGAAGATCCAAATGTAGCTCCAAGCCGTGCTGAGATTTGTGGGGCTCTGGATGTGTCTCGTAACATCTCTGTATATAGGTCGGGGCCTTACGAAATCGGCTCCATAGGTTTATACTGAGACCCACAGGGAACAGTAAAGAGTGTGAGAACAGTGCTGCTGGCCACAATAAACGTCAACCCCAGACAGCTCGTATTTACTCTGATGCCCCTTCTATGCCCGGGTACCGGTTATGCATGTCACATGCACTGCGGCATTTAAATCACCTAACAGGTGGGTACTTGCTATCCATCGTTGTCAGGTGAGGAAGCCGAGGCACAGAGGGGTCATATAATTTGCCTGAAGTCACAAGGTAGGTGGTGAAGGCAGGGGGGTTGGATACAAGATGCTGGGGTCGGGCTGGGGGAGGGGAGGGCCTTACCAGGCAGTCGCTCTCACGGGGCCCTGTGCAGCCGGCGGCACACTGGTTATGGCAGCAGTCGCTGGGGGACCTGCCGCGGCAGCGCCCTGAACACTGCTGGGCGCAGATGATTTTGGTCACTGAAAAGGAGCACAAGTCACCTGTGAGCTGAAGAGCCAGGGAAGGGTCATTTCTCAGGAACCTTGCAGAGCGCTGGCCGACGGCAGATGAAAAAGTGAACCAGGTGGTAAATGTAGTGACTCCCCGGCTCGTTCGAGTTCCCAAACATTTACATTCTGCCTAATAACACTGAATTATGACCTTTCTTTATTGCACCTCTGTTTTCTACTTATTTTTAATCACTTAGGAGAATTAACCACATCAGGTCTAGACTTCTGGACCTGCTTGATAATTACATGCTAGTTACACTGGAGATGCTGGATGATACCGAAAGCATACCAAATAACAGAAATGCCTGCCAGAAAGTAGGGCTTAAAAGGACAAAACCATCACATTACAAACTGAAGGGCAGACCATGAACTTTTAAGGTAACAGGTCCCCAGATTCCTTGGCCATCCGTGCTCCTAAGCTAGGATCCTGCAAAAAAAATCCTCCAGAGAAGATTGTTCCTGCTTCTGGGTAGGCGGGCCCCCCAGAAAGAGAAAATAAGAAGTGTTGTGACACTCAGGTAACACGGACCAGTGCTCTGTTCCCAGAAAATTCTGCCAAACGTATTGCTCAGAGAGTGGCTGGGTGCGCGTGGCTGGCTTTCACTCACTTATGACAGGCGGGAGTGCCCCAAAGGAGCCCACGCTGGATTACCCGCATGCAGGGAGATTTGCAAGAATGTTGTTCCCATAACCGCACATCTCGCCTTACTGCTTTTAGGAGTCTTCAAAGGGAAAACACATACAGTCCGCTAAGTATAAGGGGGGAAATGTGGGCACATATTTATCCGAAATTCTGTTTGCTGACTTACATTTCTGGCAATTCTCCTTTCCCGGACCCCAGCAACTTCCATTGGGACAGCCTGGATCACACTTTTGGCCTAAAACGCAAAGGTAATAGTTAAATTTGTATCTCAGAGGAAGCAAACAGGTTGATGACAATCTGCTCAAGCCGCTGAGCAACGTGATGCTCTAGAAACAAGGAACGGCTTTCAAATGTCTTATTCTGGTTTGTAAGGTGATTCAAAAGACTTTCACAAGAAAAAGAGAAGACGAGCCATGTTCTGCTTTTATTTACATTTCAGCTATAGGAACAGAGACAGAGAGTAATTATTGACTTGTCACGGGCCATGAAGACTGGGATTCAAATTAATTCGGTGGTCCAATTTCCCATATGAGTTTAGGCTTGGAGAATTTTCCAGCTTCTCCCATGATGCCAAGGGGGTCTAATCTGGTGGGGCTAGTATGCACCCACTACATTCTCACTACGTCAGTTTCGAGTGACTGGGGAGGAGGGGGGTGGATCAGCGATCCTGAGGGAGAAAGGGTCCTGCAAATAAAGACTAGACCCCAAGCCAGACAGAGGCTCCAAATGCTGCACAAAGGGTCAAATGTTCACAATGTACATCACCTTGCTGATTAGCAAAACCTCCACTATTGATTTGTAAGCTACTGTCTGGAAGTATTTGCAGTTGATCCATCAGTTTTTGCAGTTTTTATAAACGATCAACTACAAATTATAGCCACAGAGGCTTTTAATCTCATTGGTTGTGTTTTGCTTTTATTAGCACGGAGATACCTGAAGACGAAAGCTGTATCTCTACCTGTATACAGAGAACAGGGTGGCCTTTGTTAAAACAAAGGTCAGCCATGAAAGTACCTTCCATTGCAAAGGCAAGTAACCTAAAGGAAGTCATATGTGTCCCAACGTCTTCGGCAGTCAGGGAGAATTTAGGTCCTGGCAGAATATGGATTTCAAATGGAAGAGCTAACGATTTCCCAAGTTACTATGGAATCAAGACACCTTTTTAATGAGACTGACCATCTTTACAATCACCCCAGTAATGAAAGGCACCAGTGAAATGCCCACACTCTTTAAAATCATGAGAGATGCCGAGGCCAATCCCCAATGTACAGTATGGACTGTGCATTGTGAAGAAGAGAAAGACAAAGAGACAGAGACAGAGACAGAGATAGAAAGAAAGAGTGGAAAGAACAGAAGTACACAGAAACGTTAAGAGTGTTTGCGTCTCTATAGCGATATGTTATTTTTACTTTTTACCCTATACTGCTTATACTTCTCAAATTTCTATTATAAGCATGCAATAGGTTTATAAATCAAAAATATTTAAAATAAAAATGCTTAATGGCATCTTCCTGTAACAGAGAAAACATCTACCAACCAATGAATCAAGGTTTGCCTATAATTCTATTATCAACTCCCGTGACCAAAAAAAAAAAAAAAAAAGAAAGAAAAAGAGAGAGAGAGAGAGAGAGAGAGAGAGAAAAGAAAAAATAGAGGCACATTATATAAAATATGGGCAATAGAAAAAAGCAAAAGGAAGAAATGAGAATCATCCAGAAGTAATCTATACATATGAGTATACACACACACACGTATACACACATATAAGAATTGATGTCACACATTTGAGAAACTTAACAGAAGACCATGGGGGAAGGGAAGGGGAAAAATAGTTTCAAACAAAGAGGGAGAGAGGCAAACCATAAGAGACTCTTAAATAGAACAAACTGAGGGTTGATGGGGGAGGGGTGGAGGAGAGGGGAAAATGGACAATGGGCATTGAGGGGGGCACTTGTTGGGATGAACACCGGGTGTTGTATGTAAGCAATGAATCATGGGGATCTACTCCCTAAGCCAAGAGCACACTGTATATACACTGTATGTTACGCAACTTGACAATAAGTTATATTAAAAAAAATTGATGTCACACTACACACTGTAGCATGACTTTTAAAAAGCTAATAAAATGTTATGACAATTCTTCCATGTCTTTATTTAAAGCATTTATTTAAGCATGATTTTTGCTGGCATGGCTGTACCATAATGTCTTTAACCAAGCTCTTATTTTTAGATCTCTAAGTTGTTTCCAAAATCCATTATAAATAAGGCTGCAAGGAATACTTTTGTACAAAAATATTTTTCTATAGCCTATAATTTTCATTCCCCTTAATTGTTTTTTTCTTATAATTCCTAGACATGAAGTTCATAGGTTGGGGGGGGGTGGCATACTTTAAAGGTTTAATATATATTGCCAAAATTCTATCCTTGACCATGTTTTATTAATTTATATGCCCACAAGAAGAGTATGAGAATTTCTGCTTCTCCACACCCCTCCTGATCTGGATATCTAAAAGTCAGAAGGAACCCAAATCTTTAGCAAAGGCAAAAATGATGCTTCTTTATTTTATTTTGACCTTTTAAAAATTACAGTAAGAAATAACTTCTTTATTTCTTGGCCATCTTGTGTGTGTGGGGTACAAACTGTGCATGTCTTTTTATTACTGGGAGGTTCACCTTTTTCTTGGGATTCCTAAGACTACTTTATACAGTTTTCTTATGAAGAATATTAGCCCTTTTCAAGTCAAGCAGATGATCCACAATATTTTCTTGTTTGTCATTAATATTTTTTCCATGGAAAGTTTATGGTATCTGACTGGCTTTTCTCCAACTTGATATTACACACAGTCATGTTTATGCTTCCTTCTAGCACTTACCTATATATTCAGTAATTTATCACATATAATATGATTCAGAATTGATATGAGTGTACAAAGTAGATGATGGATTTATTTCAGTTTCCTCTTAAGTAAATCCACCTGATGTAACTTCAATTGCCAAACCACATCAACAATCACATAATGTGGGGGCACCCTGGAGAACCTTTCTGAATCTCAAATCCATCATCCATAAAATACTTTAATCACCTTATGAGATTTTGGGGATAAAAATTTAATGAGACAAGTTCTCAGAAGGCATGTGTGGCCTGAAAGTCACCGGCAAAGGGCAGGCCCCTGAGCTTGTCACTGGTTGGGGAATTAATGAGGACGGCAGGGGAATGGTGTTTCCTTCTTTTTTTTTTTAATCATTATAGTTCTATCGCTTTGGTATTTTCTCCTTAATAGTTAAATCATTCTGGAACAATTTATTGTAGACGATGTAGATAATGGATTCTTCCCTTATTTGCTTAAAATGTCATTTCTTTATGGACATTTAATTTAGCACGGTTTATTCTTACTCTTTCTCTTACATATTGGTGGCTTATTCTTACATGTCTATTCTTAACCGAATATCATATCAGATTGCAGTTTGTAGCTTTGTCATATCTGAATCTTGTTATTGCATGCACCTGTCATTCTTCCTTCCCAACACTTTCTTCAGGGTCTTTCCCATGGTCTGGGCGTGATGAGGGCACATGCGCCCTTTGGGCTGTCTGACCTCATGGATATCACAGCCTTCCTGTGTCAGTGTTTGTTTTTGTTATTGTTATAAATGTGCACAATTTAACCTCCTCACTATCCATCAGATAGCTGCGGAAAGGTTAGCCGTTATGTGATGGATAATACAAAATTTTGTGTCATAAGATACAGTTTTCAGTTTCTTGCAAACGCAGCAGGGGCCAAGCTGAGTCTGTGTAGGAACAATCTATTTATAAAACAAAGGGGCTCAAAACCCACGTTCACAGCAGCATTATTCTTAATTATCATACACAGAAGTAACGCAAGAACTCACCAACTAATGCATGGAGGACAAAGCATGTACACGCAATGGAATATTATTCAATCATAGAAAGAGAAGAGGTTCTGACGTATGCCACAACATGGAGGAAACTTGTGGATGTTATGACAAGTGATAGAAGCCAGTCAAGTACTCTGACTCCGCTTGTAAGAGATCCCTAGAACAGCCACGCTCACAGGGATGGGAAGTAGCATGGTGGCTGCCAGGGGCTGGGGGCCGGGACAGGGAGTTAGTGTTTAATGGGGACAGAGTGTCAGTTTCATGAGATGAAAAGAGTCTTTGAAGAACGGAGGGTGGTGACGATCACACCACAGTGTGAATGTACTTAATACCGGTGAACTGTACACTTAAAAGTGGTTGAGATGGTAAATTTTAGTTAAAGTATTTCACCACAATAAACAAACAAACAAATCAGTAAGATTAAATGAAATCCCCACCAACGGGCTCCAGTCAGTTTTGAAGATCCATGTGCGCTCCAAAGTCTTTGAGACCAAAGAAAACAAAAGCAACAACCAAAAAACCCCAAACAAAAACACGCATCCACTGCACAGTTCAGGGAAACAGAGAAGCAAGAAATGGTGACGGCTTCTTATTTTAAAGGACTGAAAGATAAGGGAGATCAGAAAGGGGGATGCTAAGCGGAGCTTGGTAACCGTAGGCAAGTGTCTGCAGTTTCCCACACAGCACTGCCAGGGGGCCAGGTGGTGATGCCTTGACCTACAGCCTGGCCCCCTGCCAGCCTCTCCCTGGCACGGGCGCATTACTGATGAACGGCAGGGACTAGGTCATGGGCATTAGGGTGAATATGGACAAACTCCTGCCCTGCGTGCTTTGCCCAACCTTGCCTGGGGCTCCGTGTAGGAGGGTGGAGGTCACGGCATCGCTTGAAGGCTCAGCCGCAAGTCAGAAGCACACAGAAGTCTGGCCTGGCTCCTCCTGCGAGGATGTGGGAAGCCCATGTGCCAGGACTCATGGCCACACGAGGGTTCAGCTGTCCCAGTGCGGGGGAGGGGGTGATGTGCAGAAACAGACTCTCCCTCTGTCTTAAATAAGTCCTCTCCTCGTGGGCAGATCAATTGTTCACTAGTTACTTGGGGTTGAGATTAACGTGACTTAAACATCGACCCTTTCCGTCGCCCCCTCCCCCCCCACCCCAATGCGCTGCGGCTCTGTCCCAGCACCGGAGCTACAGGCAGGGGGACGTGCCTGTAGAACACTTACAGGTGCCCATGTGATTCTGGAAGTCCAACGACATGTTGCTTATGAAATCGCTGTCCACGATATCTCGCCACTGGATGGTCTCCACGTTGCAGAGGACAGGGTTGTTGCTGAACCGCACGGCGCCCTGCAGGATTTCTGTGCGAGCAAAGAGCCTCAGTTAGCCATCTGCTCCCACAAAGTGCATATGCATTTCTCCACATTTCGAGTCCTGCCAAACCAATGCCGGTATGCAAATGAGACTCCCTACGGAGCTTTGGTGGGGGCAGCTGAAAAACGAGTCCATGACAGTGCCTTGGAGGAATTAGGTCCCCCCTGCCCCCGCCCCAAAATGGGCCTTTGATCAACAATCGGAATTCAGAACTATGGGGAGGAGGAAGGAAGCTGTACGATGATGTGAAGGGGCCAGGTACTCGGCTAGGTGATTTAAACATTCTCTTTAAAATATTTTTAATGTTTATTTATTTATTTAGAGAGACAGAGAGAGACAGAGCATGAATGGGGAGGAGCCAAGAGAGAGGGAGACACAGAACTGAAGCAGGCTTCAGGCTCTGAGCTGTCAGCACAGAGCCCGATGCGGGGCTCGAACCCACAAACCGTGAGATCATGACCTGAGCTAAAGTCCGACACTTAATCAGCTGAGCTACCCATGCGCCGCTAAACACATTCTCCTCATTAATCTTTGCAGTGGTCCCAGGTCTCTCTGTAAGTTTAGATCCGTAAATAATGCCCAGCACCCCTCCCCAACACCCCTCTGCCAGGAAATGGCTCTGGATCTGCCATCTGCACGAAGTACCACCGTGGAAAAGGAAGGGGGCCCCCGAGGAAGAGCTCTGCGGCTGCTGGAAAGAATGGAATTCCCCAGAGCAGCCAGGAGCGGACCACGGAGGAGCACGGAGGGAGGCCACAGCTGGCTTTCTCCAGCCAGGAGACTGCAGCAAACGCGCACCCATGAGGTCAGTGGGCATTTTCTTTGGCGGATGGTGGGGAACAAAGGAATCGCAGAAGGAAGGCTGGGAGGTCCAGAGGGCCAAAGCTGTGGAGCTTTGGGTATAAAGTCAGAGACAGCAGCAGGGCCATGCAGAGAGAACATTTGGATGAGAGGTCAGAACTGGAAACACACACTGGGGGCATCGAAGCCGCGGTGACAATCGGGACAACAGACCAAGGTGGCAGGAAAGAGAGCGTGATGGAAGGTCACGGTGGGGCCGTGCAGAGCACCCACCATCTGCCATCACGAGGAGTAAAAGGAAGGCAGCAAAGGTACCAGGCGATTCAGGTGCCCCCACCTGCTAGCTTAGCGAGAACGAGGTGGGCAGTCTGGAGACGGCCATTCCTTTGTTTTTACTTTCAGTATTTCATGATTATATACCTGGTGGTGGGCACCAAGCTAATTATAAATAACAGTACTTACACTAAAAAATTCACAATCATTACCTAATAACATTAACTGATCTGCATTTATACAACCCCATGCCAACAGCAGAAATAATACCAACAACAGAAATAATTTCTAAGTGCTTTCTCTATGGTAATCCGCTTAATTTTCTCAACGCCTGTAGGAAGTGTGTTACCATCGCCATCCACATTTGTCAAGAGGAGGAAACTGAGACACAGAGGCTCTGCTCCGGGGGCATCTGGCTGGTGAGTGATGGAGCCAGGGGCTGGAACCCAGACAGCTTGGCTCCAGGGTCCACGCTCTTAACCACATCAGCCAGTCACCACGAGACAGCACGAGGCCAGGCAGGCAGATTGAGGCACGCCGAATGCACACACTCTTTAGCCAAATGTGTAAATAGGGCAAATTAGTATTAGCGTAAACACAGACGGGGTGCGTGGGCGCTCAGAGCAGCTGACGTGGCAGGCGGGAAGTCTCAGGGCAGTTTTATAGAATGGCCAAACCCAGGGGCCCCGCTGTGTGGCGTGCCAGCCGCCTGCGCGCCCGGGTTTGGATGTGTTGGCATATTCTCCACGACCACCGTCAGGCCTCCACTGTCCCCAGGACTCTTTCTGTCATGCATTCTCTGCTGTCACACCCCCCCCCCATCCTGCTTTCCTGGTGGGCCCCCTTTCCATCAGAACTGCACAGCACATCGGAAGGGTAAGGACTCTGGGGGCAGACATTTGGTGGCCATTCCTGGCCATTTTTTCACTCACTTGGGACCTTTGCCACCATATCTTTATGTATAAAATGGTGGGCGTTTAATCAACGCCTGCTCTGAAGGGAGCTGACGGGCACAAAGTTCCTGATTTAACATGACCGGCACCGTGCCTGCCACATAGCAGGGTCACTAATGACGAGGGCATGCTCGTCATTATCTTCAATTTTGTTTAAATCCACTTCCTGTCTCTTCTTTGATCTTCCTTAGTTTCCACTGGGAGGGTCTTCACAAGCGTCCTACTCACAGGAATTCAAACTCCTTCTGTAATCACGTCATTCCCTGCCCTTTACTTAGACATGAATTTCTGTGTAACAGCATTAATCTGAAACGTTCTCAAACAGGGGTTGGTTTTTAATGCATATTCCTAATACCTGAGGTCCAGGGAGTAAGATGGGCAGTTTATTCACTCCCCAGGCACAGAAAGTCTGCATTCCAGCCAAGGTCGTCTGGATATTTTTCCATGAACATAAGAGAAGTGCCTTAAATCTTCCCTTACCATCTCATCAGCTACCATCTTCTTAAAAACTTCCATCTACTGTATCTTGTACACAGTTGGCACTCAATAGATTTGCATTTGATGAACAAAAGTCTTCTCTAGTGACATTAAGAAAAGTGACAGATTTGCTGTGGGGGTGTCTGGGTGGGTCAGTCGGTTAAGTAGCCAACTCTTGATTTCGGCTCAGGTTTCAGATCTCATGGTTTGTGAGTTTGAGCCCCGCATGGGGCTCTGTGCTGGCCTTGTGGAGCCTGTTTGGGATTCTCTCCCTCTCCTCTCCTCTCTCTGCCCCTCCCCTGCTCATGCTCTCTCTCTGTCTCAAAATAAATAAACTTAAAAGAAAAGAAAAGCGACAGTTTTGCTGAGTACCATCTGAGCGACTCTCTGCACCCACAGCCTCCCTGTGCCCTGGTCTCTCACCGTGTAAGTTTCTCATGGGCAGTTCCCGCAGTCCGGTTCTATTCGTGCCATAGTTGGATAAGACAGATAAGGCATGGGTGTTTTCATAGAGCACATTGCCTCGGATGATCTGCAGGTTTTCCAAAGGAATCTTCTCCACCGTGTTGAGGGCAATGAGTACATAGCCGGCAACTTCCTGGATGGTCTAAAGAGAGAAAACACAAGGATGTCATTTCTCTTGTGCAGAAGTCAAGAATCCAAGATCTAAAATGGGTCAAGAAAGCCCAGGGCACCTACATGAGCGCTGACAAACATGAAGCCCGTAGATAACTACAGGGGGGACACAGGAGGGGACAGAATTTATGATGACTCCTGTACTTTCACCTCTTGAGCCTGCTGGCAATAATAAAGGGCAATGGGCATTATTTAGGAATGCCGTGACTCTCATTTTACTTGGTGTTCAATATATTCAGAAGAGAATAGAAATGTTTTATCAATTCATTTTGTATCTGTCTTCCATGCTTTCTTATTAAAAAAAAAGAAGAAAGGAAGGAAGGAAGAGAGGAGGGAGGGAGAAAGGAAGGAAGGAAGGGAGGGAAGGAAGGAAGGGAGGGAGAGAGGGAGGGAGGGAGGGAGGAAGGAACCCAGAAGGAGGCCAATCAAATCCAAAGCTTAACTACCGCCAACACCTGACGCCTTCCCAGCTGGCTCCTACTGGCTCCCTAGAGCCTACTGCGAAATATTTGTGAACTGGTTTCGATGAATTCAACCAGAGTAGAATATTTACACTAAAGGCATAGGCAAATGTTACAAAGCAGGACTTTTTTTTTTTTTTTAAGAGCTAATGTATCAGGATACCACAGCTAAAGCATTGGCTAAACGTTTAGTATCTATGATGATAGACGAAGGCCAGGCTCTTACTCTCTGACATGATTTCACAGCTACAACTTCACACCAGCTGGTGAAGTGGCTTTCTGATAGAACCTAACATCGGCCCGTAATTGCCACAGCAAAAGCAAACAGATTTCCAGTTAAATTCTGTTAAGATCTTTATCTACTTATATTTCCCTCTATCATATTCGGGTAAGACTGTCAAATTCATCGAACTAACTTTTAAGAAGGAAAGGTCGTAATTCCTTTGCATGTAGGTGATTTCCAAATTCCCAAGGACCACCTCACAGTTATTGAACATCCTCTGAAGGCTGAGAAAGTGGTCTTCAAAAGTGCCCAACTGGGTGAGCCGGTTACTTGTACCTTGGCAAACTGCAAAAAAAGGAAAAAAGATATCACGTGAAACGCCAGGTAGAGTAGCAGAAACAACATAAAATGTTCACAAGTTTCAACAAACTTTTGAGAGTGACTTACAATGTAAATTCTGGTAAAAGGTCACTCAAAACAAATGTGGCAGAAAGTGTTTGTTTATCTAAGGTACAGTTCATCGTAAGAGATAGCTCATCCCTATGATTCATGAAATCTTTATAAAATGTTAAAAATTCAAGGGGACACGGGAAAATTCTATGAAAATCTTTAAGATAAAATAGTCTTTTAGAGCTTTGGTAGACAAAAATGTATCATTAGATAATAAGCTAGTTACAATGTTGAATTAATAGCTACGTAATGAACTTTTTTACATTATGAAAAAGATAGAATTCTCACATTACTGTACCTCCAAAGGATATTTATGAACATAACATCCAGCAGCTGATATTTTCTTTCTTTATTTTTTTATTTATTTTTATTTATTATTTATTTTTTTGTAATTTTATTTTTTTATTTTTATTTTTTTACAAATAGTTTATTGTCAAATTAGTTTCCACATAACACCCAGTGCTCATCCCCACAACTGCCCTCTTCCATGCCCATCCCTCCTCCCCCCCACATCCATCAGTCCTCAGTTTTTGTCAGCATTCAAGAGTCTCTCATGGTTTACCTCTCTCCCTTTCCCCCACCATTTCCCCCCTTCTTCTCCCCCTTGTTCCTCTGTCAAGTTCCTCCTAATCCTCCTATACGTGCAAACATATGGTATTTGTCCTTCTCTGCCTGACTTATTTCACTCAGCATAACACCCTCAAGGTCCATCCATGTTGCTACACATGGCCAGATTTCATTGTTTCTCATTGCCATGTAGTATTCCATGGTATAGATAAACCACATCTTCTTGATCCATTCATCTGTTGATGGACACTTAGGCTCTTTCCATGTTTTAGCTATTGTGGAGAGTGCCAGCAGCTGATATTTTCTGACCACAGTGTTGTACAACTTAAAATCAATGACGAGTGTAAATCGAAACCCGATTGGCCAGAGATTAAAAATATTCTTCTAAAGTAACGCATCAGAGAATGAATCAATGGTCTAATTATACATCTAGAAAATAATGAAATGGCAACATACATTTAAAAACACACTCGGGCACTAAGAAACCAATATGTCCTTTTATCTGTCCACACTCTATGCGAATCCACCCAGCACAGGGGCAGATGCAATCGCACACAGCCTTTGCACGCTTAATTCCCTCATGTTTTAACTTACTACAAGGAGTGTAAATTGGGGGAACAGAGTTAGACTGTGGAAATACACTTGACAGTCTATATTTGAAAGCAAAGGAGATTATAATAAAGTCATAGCTCTTTGAAAGACATGTTCAAGCAAGCATGACAAAACAAAGAGGTTTGGGGCTTTTGAAGCAGGGAGCTTGTCAAGCGACTATACTTTGAACCAAAATTATCATAAGAGTGAAGAAATATGGCCTCTGGCTTTGGAGGTTACATTCCAAACTAGCCAGGTTCTGCTACATGTGCAAAGGCATGGCTGCAATCCGTAGCCAGGTGGCTGAACACAAAATCAAGGCCAAAGTCAATATGCAGGTACTTTCCTCAGAAACTCTTTCTAAATTTACATTTCCTTTCGATAGACTTCTTTGTTCCCTCCCCATGGGAACTGCTCTGAAGGGCATCATCTGACCGTCTGCCCTTACATTTTAGTGCCGCTGCAGCAAGCACATGTTGAGACACCTCACACTCGACGTGAAGCATCTGCACCAACATTAAATATGAAGCAATCGCCACATCCTCTTTAACTCTACGGGGATTTCCCTCCACTGCTATTCTGTGGTCTCATTCAAATCTGGCGGCTGAGAGAACGCTCACATGGGAACTTCGACAGTCGACAAGACTGAGCCCCCATCTACTGATTCCATACTTCTTCCAACCATAACACTGGACGGATCCGACGTCCCGGGGCTGCTTTCACTCAGGAGGATGGGCTGCTCCGATTGCAGCCTCACTTTGGAACAGCTGCGCACAGTTGGCAGCAAAGCACATAGGTGGGGCCAGACTGCTTTCCCAATCCCAAGGTCCTTAAAGGTGCCACCACCAGTGTAGGTACGGGGTTGTGACAATAACTCATGACCTTTCAGTCGGCATATGTGGACACCAGAGCTCCTTTCCTGGCTGGCAGACTGCGGTCCCTACATTTCAGCCCAACCGACTGGCTATCATCGAAGCGGCTCAGTATTGACCATGCCCTTATTCCGGTCAGGTGAACTCCTAGTCAGTCCTAGAACTCAGGGTTGGAGCTCATTTCAGACTTTCTTCAGGACACAGAGAAATGAAAAGCAGTAACAATTGCTTTTGTTAAATTTTTAAAAAATGGTTATTTATTACTGACAGAGAGAGCAGAGCACAAGCATGGAGGGGCAGAGAGAGCGGAAGACAGAATCCGAAGCAGGCTCCAGGCTCTGAGCTGTCAGCAGAGCCCAATGCGGGGCTCAAACCCATAAACCGAGAAATCATGACCCAAGCCCAAGTCAGATTCTCAACAGCGCCACCCAGGCGCTCCTCAATTGCCTTCATTTTAAATAATAAAGGATTTCAGCTTGTAAATTTCTCTCAGCAGAACCAAAGAATTTTCATTAATAAATCAATAACAAAGTAACTTTCGTCAGTAAAAAAGGAAGACATGCCCTTTAAGTTTAGCCTACTACATCCGAGCAAAAATAATTCAAAAATCACTGTATTTGTGCTTTCATTCAGTCATTCAAAAAATGCTAAATGAGCTAAAATATTTATTTGATGAATCCCTCCCATCACCCTGCATTGTTTACAATTAAATGTGAGCTACTTCTGTCTTCAGAGAAAGATGCTATATATGGAAGATAATAGCAACACTGCACAATGTTGATATGAACATGTATTCATAAAACATTTTAGGAAGCAACTAGACAGCTTGTGTAAACATATATGCTTAAAAAGGCTTCATGCAAAATGTTCATTTTTTAAAATGATGGCAAAAAAAAAAAAAAAAAAAAAAACCCTGCAAAAAGCCCTGAATGCTCAATTGTCCATCACATGTATTTTTGGGAACAAGAAAGCAGTTTTAGGCTGTGTGATTCAGTTTAAGGCAGGTCCATCTTGAATTCTATTCCAGGATTAACTACTAAAGGATCAAAAGAAATCATTACAGACATGTTTCTTCAGAGGCTTTCCCCTGCCTTGTGCCCCACAGGAGATAACAGTGTCTAAGTGAAATCCAGAGTGAGGATCAGAATAGTTTGACCTAGGTTTCTGGATTCAACAAAGTATAATCTTTGCTCTCTAGTTATACCAAATGTCTCACATTATGAATATAAAGTAATGAAAAGATTTAAATGTGACACCACTGAATGAGTAAAATTATTTTTTAAATCACAAATTAGGCAGATTTAAGACAAAACTGCAAAGAGCAAGAGCTTTTTTATTTGTCCAGGAGAAAGTTTTTGTTTAGCCACTTCCTCATTATGTGACCCTGAATGACTTCAAGTTCTCTGTGGCACTCTTCCTCAAGTTGTAGATATGGTGAAGCTAATATTGACCTTCCAGAATTGTTTTAAAGGCTGGATGAACACAAAAGCTTTCAGCTGTCTTTTGTTAAAGTTAACTACGGAGAACTGTGACAGTAATACAAGCGCACCTGCCCAGATGTTAGTGGACCTCTGTGGATATATACCTGCCTGAAGGCATTGTCTGAACTGGGAATGTCTGGATCTGCAGACAGCCTTATTCAAATATTGGACATTAAATAGACTTACTCTGTAGAATATTTATCAGAAAAGGAAGGGAAGAAAAAGGAACACATTTAATGAGTTTATTAAAATATGCATTGAGGGGCGCCTGGGTGGCTCAGTCGGTTATGCATCTGAGTTTGGCTCAGGTCACGATCTCGCGGTTTATGACTCCAAGCCCTGTGTCAGGCTCTGTGCTGACAGCTCAGAGCCTGGAATCTGCTTCAGATTCTGTGTGTTGCTCTCTCTGCCCCTCCCCTGCTCGCTCTCTGTCGTCTCTCAAAAATGAATAAACGTTAAAAAAATTTAAAAACATGCATCAAGGATTAGGTGCATTTATTATTATTATTTATTATAAATTAGCCATTTATTCAAAGAGAAGTTTGATATCACTTTAGGGCTATACATTTGAAGATCAGACAATTAAAACTGTATCAAGCTCCATAGAAAATGTGGTTGATTTGCTCTACCTCTTACAAATCAACCGACAAATTCTACTGATTCAAGAGCAGCAGTCCCCAGGACACAGGCTCTACAAAGCACCTGTCTTTTCATTCCCCAGTTTTATTACGAACATTCATAAATGTGCAGACAAGCTGAAAGAAAGATATACTGTGAATATTCCAAGACTCGCCTTGTGTTTGTTCATCTTGTCACCTATCTAACCATCTTTCTTTTTTTTTTTTTGGATACATTTTAAAGGTATAAATATCAGTACATTTCGCCCTGGCATAACTACTGATCACAGCTCAAGATGAATGTACAGCTATTGCTGTTGTTGACATCATCCACAAGTGTGCAACATCTGCAAACTGTGGGGTAATCAATCTTCAGTGTAGTATTTGAGAGTTTCAACAAATGCACACCCCTGCGTAACCTGCACTCCTACCGCCATGTAGAACATCGTCCGTAGGGGGCCCCCTTGTGCCAGACAATCCGGGCCCCTGTACACCATAAACCACACTCTGGTTTGTTTTCACTTAGAAGAGTTTTGCCTATTTTAAAATTTAATACTAGTGGAATGACGCACTATTGCCTTTTTGTGTAAGGCTTATTTAAAAAAATGTTTTTTTTAATCTATTTCTGAGAGGGAGAGAGACAGTGTGAGCAGAGGAGGGTCAGAGAGAGAGAGCACAGAGCTGGCTGTCAGCACAGAGCCCGACATGGGGCTCGAACTCATAAACTGTGAGATCATGACCTGAGCCAAAGAGGACACTTAACCGAC